TTCTTAATGAGTACCTGGATTTCAGCTCCTACAAAGCAAGGGTTTATTCCTCTTTGCAAAGTTTTCACATTTTGCATCTGACATGGCGCAGGGTTTTAACAATAATATATGCAGAGAATAACTCCCGGGGGTTACCTGATCTCATCTGAACCCCCTACAAGGAAGATGCATCCTGGCCGCTTGGAAGAAAAGAAGGGAAAATGGGAAGTAGGGAACTAAAATTGAGACATAAACAGGAAAGAGAAGTACACTAAAGGGAAGTGGAAAACCGCAGTGCTTTAGAAAACAGCAGCTGTTTGGACCCCAGGAATTCCTATTGTCTGGTGTCGAAACATCGCACTCATCATTCACAGTTCTAACTTGACCCATTGACTGAAAACACTGAAGGAGCAAAAATAGCCAAGATGATTCATCTCACAAAAGTTGCTTAGAAGGCTGCCTGCACATTTTGTTTCATAAATTTCCTTCTAGGAGAGCTGGAAGCTTACTTTAAAAAACATGAAAGGTCAGAGTCTGGGGCAAGCAAGGACCCTGGTGCAACTGTTTCAATTACCCTATTATAATGTGTCCTTGAGCTTATGTGACTGTAGGCAGTCATTTTTGGTCCTCTGAAGAGGAGTACTCCTGTTAGTAGATGAGGACATACTGCAGCATTTTATTAGGGTGCTTCTACTTGTATTATATAGTTATTGATTATACATATGGATTCTGGCCAAGCATTGCCTTGATCTAGTTGAGAAGCTTGCCTGAGTTTGGTCAGATTTGGGGATTTCACACGTCCCCTTCACTAGGGTACCACTTAGGGTAGCTCAGGCATTGCATAGTTTTCTCTGGCCTTAATATCAGGCTTTGGAGCTTTTGTCTGAGCTGTACTTAGCATCTAGGACTTGAACAAAAGAAAAAGAGAAAGATTTTTTTAAAAAAAATTCTCATGCAATTTGCTTAGCTAATTCAATCAGTTTCTTTTACTGGAATACAGAGGATACAAAAGTGTATAAATAAACACGTAAAAAATGGAATCTATTTGTGAAAGGAGATACTTTAAGATAAAACTAAAAGGCATTATAAGCTTGAAAAGTGCGTCTTAAGCCTTATAACAATGTACGGTAGTTTCATGGCAGCTCTGAAATTTTACACATTTTAAACATGAAAATTGAGCTCCAGATAAAAAATGTATCTGTTGTATTTAGTTTTGTATATCTCAGTGGTTCAGACGTAGTTTAGTGAGAACTTTCTCTCTTGCCCCTTTCCCTTTTGTTCCTCGCGTCATCAAGGCAAGGTTTTTCATGTTGAAACAACAGAAACCTGTTGTTGATTATTACTGCCTCTGAACGCAGACGACAAATGTGGCGCCAAAATGGGGCCACCAGTAAACAAGAGGAAGGTATCAGCATGCGGGGGGGGGGACGGACCCCACTGTTTGCATAAGTAAAGCAAATCTAAGACAAACAAAAAACAAGCCCAATGAAAGTCAAGCATGCTCTGTATCCATAGAATGATGAATGGCAGTTGGGGGGGGGGGGAGTGGAAAACAGAGCATGATAAAATGTAGTATCCTGTCCCTGAATATGCACATTCCTGTTACTAAGTGGGAATATACTGTTGCAAGTCCCACAAACGATGTAGTTGTTGGCTATTTTATATTTATAGTATAGCACCATAAAGGTAATACACTTTCCTTCTTTCTTTAGATAGTATGTCTTTAGTAGAAATTTGTGCTACTGTTGTATCTCTTATATGGGATTTGCTGTATAATAACTGCTTGTGTAATAGTGCAATTATAATTGTGTATAAAATTGTAAGCCATATCAACCTGACCTCGTGCAAAGGTCGTCAGAGGTGAGGCTTATATTTATAAGGAAGAGGGCTTTTTCAGTATTGGAGTTTTTCACTAAGGAGTTGTGCCTGGTACCAACTTTGCCATCTTTTAGATGCTAGATATATACCTATCATATAGACATTTTGAACCATTTAGAAACATTTCAATACCCTACATATTTTTCAGAAACAGATTATTATTTTCACTTTTATCTACTGTTTCTTTAGTTTATTGTTATTTTCTTGTTTTTAATTTTGCTAAGGTGCCTTGTATTCAAGGCGGTATATAAATGCTTTAAATTAATAAACTGATATATACCAATATACTTTTTTGTTTGAAAGTAATTGGAAACAGTTATAATTTTTGTATTTCTAAGCTCTATCCCTGTTTTAATAAATGTTTAATAATTTGGTCTTCTTTAGCCACAGTTTATACTCTCTTTTAATTTTTATTGTGGATTTCAGGTTTCCTAATAAAAATTGCAGTTATCATTTAATTTCAACACATATGATTTTGCATAGGTTTTAGCTCATTTGCTCTCATTAAATTTGTCATGAGATTCCATTTATACAGTTAGGCCTTTTGCTTTTCTTCTGGAATCTGAAAAGAATTCTACATCAAACTTAAAATATTTGCAAGGACAGCAATCTGATTTTAAAGCATTAATAACCCACACACTTTAATTAGTTTTACATATATATTGGCTCAATATGGCTTAATACTGCTAACACGTTAATATAAATGGTGTCATCACAACCTTGTTCTGTTTTTGCCATTATTTGGAATCTACACAGGAAATAATTCCAATAACTTTAGGAACAGATAGCATGTTTCTGTGCTTTATAGTTTAGTTGATCATATAATACCAGCGCTGCTGTTGGGGGGGGGGGGGAAGCTCATTCGTTGGATCCCAGCTGCAATCCTTTCTGTATCACAACACCTGCAACTCACAGGGGATATAATCCCACAAAGGTGAAACAATTTTTAGAACTCACTTTTTAAAACACCTCAAAGTGCTTATGTATGACTGAATTGATTTCTGGGTGTTTATCCTTGACTCTCACTTGAACAAAATATCTACTATATAATGGCCCTTCAAGAGAGTGTTTTTTGATATCAGCATGATCAAATCCCAACTGTAATTGAAAAAGGATTTCTAGAAGTTGAAAGCTCATTAATTAAGTTATTTGGTATATGGTAGCTTTAGTTTCAGTAGTGGTATATAGTAGCATCTATATAATGATATACAGGCTTCTAAATTCAATGCAGTCGTACAGAGAGTGAGGAAAGGAGACTGAGGTTTCTGCTTTAGGTTGAATTACAAGCCTGCCCCTATCTTTAAGAGATACAGTGGTGCCCCGCAAGACGAATGCCTCACAAGACGGAAAACCCGCTAGACGAAAGGGTTTTCCGTTTTGGAGGTGCTTCGCAAAACGAATTTCCTATGGGCTTGCTTCGCAAGACGAAAATGTCTTGCAAGTTCCTGTGGGGTTCCCCCCCTTTTTCCCAAGCCGCTAAGCCGCTTATCAGCTGATCTGCTAAGCCGCTTAACAGCCGATCGCTAAGCCGCTTAACAGCTGATCCGTTAAGCCACTAAGCCGCTTATCAGCTGATCCGCTAAGCCGCTAAGCCGCTTATCAGCTGATCCGCTAAACCCGCTAAGCCGCTAATAGCGCTAATCCGCTAAACCGCTAATGGGCTTGCTTCGCAAGACGAAAAAACCGCAAGACGAAGAGACTCGCGAAACGGATTCTTTTCGTCTTGCGAGACACCACTGTACATAGATCTAACTGCACTTATAAAATCACATAAATACTGTTTTGTGTTGCTCACCACATTCATGAAATATGTTTTGTCTGCTTCAACCAGCTTTATGGTGCTTTTAATAATTGTTTCTGCTTTTGGTGTTTGCTAAAAGGGTTGAAACAATATTTTAGTTAATATTTTATCAACGATTTTCATCTCTGATGTGCATTTCCCCACTTGTTAATTCACCAGAAGAATAGTTAGAAGAAAGGAATACTATAATTACTCTCTTATCTCACCTCTCAGGAAATGATGCAACTTCAATAGTCAATTGTCTGCATATCTTGGGACAGACCTTGGATGCAAGGTAAAATGCTAAGCATAAGTTCATTGAAGTATTGTTTCGATTCCAAAGTAAATAAGTCACTAAAGTTGATTTGGAACACAAAGCTCAATAGCTTATTATTTGTTTATTTATTATACTGCCTTTCTGCCCAAGTGCCCGAAGTGGTTCACCATTTTAATACTAAAACAAATAAATTATATAAAATGTTAAGTTGGTTGGGGATGGTGGAAGGGACTGTTAGCATTGATTTATTAATTGTCTTCCAAACAACCGGGATTTACACATAAGATTATTTAAAACAGTAAAAAACAAAAACAAAATGGAGAATTGTTGCTAATCTAAAGTAATAGTAATTACTTCAATCAGGGGAAATGTATCCATGCCCATGCCCATGTCTATTCCCTAATGAAAACAGCTAATCCTTTGTTTCAGGCTTCCTCAAACTCAGCCCTCCAGATGTTTTTGGCCTACAACCCCCATGATCCCTAGCTAGCAGGACCAGTGGTCAGGGATGATGGGAATTGTAGTCTCAAAACATCTGGAGGGCCGAGTTTGAGGAAGCCTGGTTTAAATGGTGAAATCTGGGACCTTTTTGCATGTATTTCTATAAAGCCCTGTGGACATTGATGGGTCATTATAAATAGATAGATAGATAGATAGATAGATGAAATATGCTGAAACATTTTTCATCCTCTTGACACTAAATTTTAGTACTGGTTTGACCACATTTTATTCTCAAAAATGTCAGTTTTGATCAAAATAGCTGGGTTATGCTATTATTAGAAGCTATAAGCCTGCCTTTTTGGTTCCAACAATGCAGTGTAAATATTGTCGATGTAAAATCAGCTCAAATGGCCATATGATATATACAGTATTTTATCTACCATGGGTATGATTCATGCAGTAGTTGCATGATCTGCTGCTGCCCTCTTGTGCATTTTTCTCATCACTTACATTGATTGCTAAAGAGCTTTTTCACAGGTCTCCACCCTTCTATTTTATATATTGTGGGGACTAAGGAATTTTATTCCTTTTGTATATTACATAATTTAATATTATTTTATGTGCATATAAATATGTAGGACAGTGATGAAGACAGGACTGGAGTCTGTTAAGATGGCTTTGAGAACATTTTTGGATAATGCTGCAGAGGACCTGGAGAAGACAATGGAGAACCTTAAGCAAGGGCAGTTTACGCACACTAGGACTCAGCCAAAAGGAGTGACACAAATAATTAACTATACCACTATGGCTCTTCTGCCAGTGCTATCTTCATTGTTTGAACACATTGGACAGCATCAATTTGGAGAAGATTTAATACGTAGGTATTTAAATAGAAATATGAGGTACTTCTATATCGCCAAGTCTTGAATATTTTGTGTTTAACATTAATAAAGCCTGGCTACAAATATTCCAGGCATTTACTGTAGGCAGTGCCTTGATTTAGTTGTAGTAATTTTAGCATAAAGACCCCAGGATTAATGTTATTGACTTAAATATTCTATCTCTGCCTTTGCCACAGTTCTGATTAGTGATTATCTACACATATAAGAAAAATGGAAATGTCATCACACTGCCATTTGTTTGACTACGGACAGATGGCACTGTGAATTTCAGTGGGACAAGAGGCAGTGGATGGGGTGGCTCAGGCAAGCCACAGACTGCATAGGTTGCCACATTTCAAGCAGTGAAAATCCGGACAGAAAAGTTTTTGAGCAAAGTAGTTTGCCCAAAGTTGTTGAGCTTTTTGGACACAATCAAGGAAAAAATAAAATACTCCGTTTTTTACTTGGACATTTGCCCAATTTCTGCACAGACACTGCTGCCAACTGTGGTATTCCTATGTCCAGGAAAATCTGGATGTATGGCAACTCTAAAATTGCAACAGCTGTACTGCTCTACTGGCTCCTCCTTCTACCAGCCCTGGGATCCCTGCTCCCAGGATTTAGATTCCCAGAACAGCTGGTCAATTTAGGGTTCTGTGGCTGCCACCACTCCACTTACGATGAAGAATTAGGTTGAATAAGGTGGCGGCAGATGATCTGGGGAAATGAGGCTGGTAGAAGCGGATTTTCCTGCCACCGCCTCCCCCTGGCAGTTTCAGGTTGGGAGCGCCTGCTGAATGAGGGTGGCTATTGTGCAGGGGACTGTGGTGGAAGAGACGATCCTTGCAAAACAGGTGGTGGCACCTTCCATGAGTGGCACTTCAACTCATGGAAGGTACGTCCATGCAATTTTCAGGAACCCGCTTTCTTCCCTGGGCTACAACCCATCATGTTCAGAAGGGTCCCCTGCCCTTAAGGAAAGACATCTTGAGGGAGAGGGAAGGAGGGGGCAGGAAAGTCAGCTTTCCACAGCTCCAACCCTTTGTGTCGTAGAATTTAGACACATTCTTGGTATGTTTGATGTGACAATATAACTTGTATTTCATGATATAATCAATTTTTGTTTTTTCATATTATAATAATTCCATACATAATACTTAACATTGTTTAAAATGGTTTCCTGAAAGATTTATATTGTCTTCTTAGCTGTGTTTTGCATATCGGTGAAATGAATTGCCTTTAAAATGCTTTCTTTTATTTCCATTTTCTTTAGTGGAAGATGTTCAAGTCTCTTGTTACAGAATATTGGCCAGCTTGTATGCTCTGGGGACAAGCAAGAGTATCTATGTGGAGCGGTAAGAGGGAAACACCAAAAACACAACCAAAAATGTCTTGTGAACTTTTAGGGTGGAATCCTGCCTCTGTTGCAAATCTGGAAATTTTATCAGTCACTTCAGTGAAACTGTGTACTCATTTTAAACTTCCCATCCTGCCAAACATAGCTCTATAGTGGAATTAACAATATTTATGTCAAACAGCAATATAAAATCAAGAGCTGAAAGGGGGGGAAAGGGGGTCAATATGGCCAGTAGATTGAAGACATAAACACTTATACCAGTTCATGTAATGAAAAAGGGCTCGTCTCCAAAGACCTACTGGAACAAAACAATTCTTAATTCACTTTCTAAAGGTAAAAAGTCAGGCTGTCTTGCTGGATCTTTTCAGGAAGGGGTTCTACAGGAATAGTGCATCTGGTGAGCCATGGAGCCAACTTCTTGACACGGATGGCATCACTGTCTGCCTGGATAGGGCGGGGGATGAGGTTGGTGAAGAAACTGGTTGCAGCACCAAATTGGCAGCAGTGGTCTTGCCAGTGCATCTGGATGGTTTTGTCTTTGCTGCTGCTACCTGGCCCTGCTCTAGCCCATCCAGCTAAGTGGCAGCGGCAGCAGCAGCAGCACAGGTGTCAGGAGGGCACCAATGCACTGCTCCTGGGTTCCACAATTAGGGTGCTGCTGTTGAAAAGACCTGTCTCTTTCTTTTAACCATTCATCCAGCTTATGCAAAGCAATGTAAAACTACCCTTCAAGTGGGTATCAATGGTACTTTTGGAATTAATTTCATTTTCCAAACAGTTTTCAAATGCGGCCCCATGCATACCACATTACAGTAGTCTAGCCTAGACTAGAGGTTACTATGACATGTGTCATAATAGCAAGTGCACAATTTTCTAGGAATAGTTACAGCTGGTGGACCAAGTTTAGTTCGTTGGTAATAGCTATTTTCTGCCTTCCGAGGTTTCAGCTGTTGATGAGAGTCATCCTCAGCTGGCATAGGTAATGGGATTACAGACCCAAAAAATGGCTACTTTCTTCAGTTTATTAATCCCCTTTTTGTGTAACCCAATAAATAAAGGCCGTATCAAGTGAACCTGCCTTGTGTTTTAAGTTGTGCATCAAACTCCCTGCTGAGAACATGTTGGTGTCTACTTTACTGGCTTTCTGGTTCCAGGTGAAGATAATTATATTCTCCTGAGCTTTCAGTGGGTGGTATATTAATTTCTGCTATTTCTCTGTCTTGAATTTTTGATTCTGCAGGCAGCGCTCAGCTTTAGGCGAATGCCTAGCTGCTTTTGCTGGTGCCTTTCCTGTGGCATTCTTAGAAACACATCTGAACCATCACAACACACATTCTATTTACAACACCAAGACTACAAGAGATAGAACAGGTACAGAAAATGGCTTCCAACGTAAATTTCATAAATTATCCAGACACCACTGCTTATGTAGATGCCTTTCATTTTATGACCTTCTTACGTGTTAATGCCTGCTGCTTTTTATATTTGCTTAGTTCCTTGGTGAGTGCCTAAACTTCTAAAGGCATATTGTCTTCAGTGGACAATATGGAGTTGAGAGGAAAGCTCAGAGTTTTCAATTGAAATCAAGGTGACTTCCTGTTAATATGGTTGATACATTGGTAGTTCAAATGTCATGATAAACCATGGTTTGCTGTGATGAGAATGAACTGCAGCAGGCCTTGGGCTCACTTGACACCTCACTTCTTTGGCATGAGGAGAAGAGTAGAAGCTTTTACTTTAGCTTTTGATTAACAGTAGTTGATATCTGAACTCTAAATTGTTGTTATTTCAACAAACTGGTTTTTTTAAAAAATAAACCAGTTTAATAAACCATGATTTGAGGTTAACCTTGTTTTAAACAAACCATCATTATTTCCTGCTTTAGATCTCATGGGTGATAAATTCATAGTCGTGAAAGCTCCTTATAAATATGCACCAGAGGTTCTTGAAATCTGGGCTCCATCACAATCCTCCCCCTTCCTCTTCTCTCCCCCTCTCACTCATAAGGAGATTTTACTGATCTAAAGGCAACTCGACTATTATCTGAACTGATGAGTGAGGCTTCCAAATATGAATTGCAAGCTACAGTTTGATCCCAAATTACAATTTTGTAATTGTAATGGTTTGATGATTTGAATGTAATAGTAAACTATGTTTTGATGAAGTAAGACAATATTTAATGAAGCCATATGTGTGAGTGAAGGAGTAGGAAGAGGGAGGAACACTAAAAAATATGGTTTGTTCCCATGGCTTGGAGGGTTGCTTGAACAACGGTTTCAAATATATGCTTTCAATTCATTTTGATTATTTACTTTTAGATTGCATTAAGGTAAATAATATTATTTGCATATTTAACAAAAATTATAAACCTCTTATTAGAACAAAGAACCATTAAGTGATGTTAATAATAATGGATATTAAATCACATCTCTTCGTAATGTGGATAAAAGTGTATTTTTGTCTTAACTAAAATACTAGTGATGTATGAAAGGAAAAATCTGATCAGGATAAATATAAGAGTTTGTTCATTATTGGTGTCAAGTAAAGTTTTTTTTTAATTGTTACTGATATTATTTCTTTTAGGTCTTAGCTTACCAAACAGTGTAGAAGAACTTTCTCCAAACATTCCTTCTCTGGAGAAGCTAATGGAAGAAATTGTGGAATTAGCTGAATCTGGCATTCGCTACACACAAATGCCTCATGTAATGGAAGTTGTACTGCCTATGCTCTGTAGCTACATGTCACACTGGTGGGAGCATGGACCAGAAAGCAATCCTGACAATAGTGAAATGTGCTGCACAGCTTTGACTTCAGAGCATATGAATACCCTTCTAGGAAATATACTGAAAATCATACATAATAATTTGGGCATAGATGAGGGAGCCTGGATGAAGAAATTAGCAGGTAAAATGAAAGAAAAATAATATGAATTTGATTTATTTTTGCTTGGATTCCATTGCTATGCAAATACTTAATACTATTCTGGATTTTAAGCTGAACAAGAATACATTAAAAAGAAATAAGAAATTGAGAAATGTAAATATAGATTATTTCAGCAGACAGATTTCTAATTGATTGAAGAGTGTTAAATGGAAAAGACCAGCAAGGACAAGAGGCTGTGGTATTCTAAATTATCAGACAGTGTAAGTAGTTCTAGTGATAGGAACAAAGAATTGACAAGAATTTGCAAAATACTGGATATAGGTGGAATTGAACAGAATTCAGTAGGTGATTCTAGGGTTGCATGCCTTTGAACTGAACCAGGACCCTGACAATGAAATAGATGTTTGGAGGAAGAGAGTAGTCACTGGAGTATAATATACCTACTATGGGAATGCAACATCTTTTAGTATAGTTTCATATATTAGTATGCTATAAAATTAATGAATTCCTTACATAGTGTTTTCTCAGCCTATCATAAGCAAAGTGAAGCCTCAGCTCCTGAAAACGCATTTTCTGCCACTGATGGAGAAACTGAAGAAAAAAGCTGCAATGGTTATATCCGATGAAGAACATTTAAGAGCAGAAGGCCGGGGAGATATGTCGGAGGCAGAACTCCTCATCCTAGATGAGTTCACAATATTGGCACGGGACCTTTATGCCTTCTACCCATTGTTGATTAGATTTGTGGACTACAACAGGTACATGGCTTATAAATCTGTTCATTTATTTATTTCATTAAATTTATGCACAGTTTGATGGAAAAACACACACCTCAAAGCAGTATTTTGGGGTTCTGCGAGTCTGTGATCCACAAGTTGTAATCTCTTCTCTGCCAGAATGATTACACAACCAGACTCCTCACTCTTTATCAGAAATGAATAGTGGAGAGAACAGGTGGGGAAGTACAATCTCTAGTCTAAGATAAATGCAGACTTTGCTAAATGCTCTATGAAAAATTTGTAAACTGCTTTATCTGGAATAATAAAAGTGATGAAAAACATTTTTCTTTGTTTAATTTCAGAGCAAAGTGGCTAAAAGAACCTAATCCAGAGGCAGAGGACCTGTTTCGTATGGTTGCTGATGTATTCATTTACTGGTCAAAATCCCATGTAAATGCATTATTTTTGTTTGTAGCAAAACAGATAGAATGCCCATCATTGTAGGGGATATGGAAAGAGAGACAATATGACAGGAACCAAAAGGTTGAGAGGAAGGTTTTGTGCAGACATTAAACAAGGAATAATTTTAAAGAGATTGTGGAAGGTGTCGTTTCTGAAAAGTCCATACCTTGTTTAGCTGGTGGCAGTTTTATACACTTCCTTAGTGAATGTGTGAGTGTGCATTTATTTCCTAGCAGATGTTTGTATTAATGCAGTGATGTCATTCAGTGAATAAAAAGGCACATGACCTGAATTAAAGCCCAAACTTCTCAGTGGAGGCACTTAAGATGGAAGCAACCATGCCCTATCAGGATTGTTAGGAAGAGTGAACAGAGTATACAATATATAGCATTTTCCACATTTTAAAATGTTACAAAAAGTTCATTTGTATTAGGCTTGTATTGTATCACCACTGTCATATTTATTTGCGGATTCTGCAAATATTTATTTGTGCACCTACATTTAGTTCAATCTCTAATGACGACTGTTGTTCACTGATAAAGGTTAGTTATACTATATTTAAACGCCTAATTTACTATATTATAAATTGAATCTAGTGACTAAGATAAACTTTATACAGGTCTTGATGACTAAGATAAACGTTATACAGGTCCTGAAGTAAGGTCTGAAGGACCCAGTTTTGATATTGTGGTTAACCATAGCTAACAGATGCATTCATGATGAACCACCTGGCTGTTTCACTCCTCCTCCCTGGTGCATGGAGGACTCAAACCACAACCCCTTGTTCAGAATTATATCCAAAACAAGGCTATGGTTTGATTTCCTCAAACTATGATTGGTAAAGTAAGAACAAACCTTGGCTTTATGTTTGTTTGGAGCAAAACAGTCCTTCATTCAGACATTACTCTAAACCAGGGATTGTGGGTTGATTCTTCCACATACTAGTAAGAAGGATTTAGGGTGTCTTCTGATTTCTAATTTGTGTACTTAACAAAATATTCTTTATACAATTTCAGAATTTTAAAAGGGAAGAACAAAATTTCGTTGTGCAGAATGAAATCAACAACATGTCTTTCCTTATTACTGATACAAAGTCCAAGATGTCCAAGGTATATAAAACTACAGAAGTTGTATGGAATTTTCTCAACATATACTGACCAATCCCCTTTTTGCTTTAAGTTGTTGCAGCAAAAACAATTTTGGAATTGATAATCTTTTACATTTCATATACATTCTTTATACCATTATCATATTTTCTAAGAATACTTTGTTTAGAGATGAATAAGAATTTTGGATTGGTATAGGTTGGAAGCAAACTCCTCTAGTTTGGAAAGTGTTTTTCCATTTGTTTCTTTATTTTACAAAACGTATAGACTGCTTAATAGTAATAAATAGTAATTAATCCTTCCAAAATAATGACTCTATATTTGTATCCTTTCACTCGTCTACCTTAGGGGTTAAAGTTTCCAAAGCAACCTTAGCGAGATGGATTAGGGCCTGTATTTTCTTGGTTTATCATTCCCTTAAATTACCCCATCCATCTCATGTTTTGGCGCATGTTGGACATTTGTAGGACAGCTACCAGTGTGGTGCAGTGGTTAAGAGCAGTAGTCTCGTAATCTGGGGAACCGGGTTCGCGTCTCCGCTAATCTATATGCAGCTGCTGGGTGACCTTGGGCCAGTCACACTTCCTTGAAGTCTCTCAGCCCCACTCACCTCACAGAGTGTTTGTTGTGGGGGAGGAAGGGAAAGGAGATTGTTAGCCGCTTTGAGACTCCTGAAGAGGAGTGAAAGGCGGGATATCAAATCCAAACTCTTCTTCTTCTTCTACCTGGTTGGCATCTTCCACCTTTACCAGACATTACAAATTGGACCAGCTGTCCTCAGCTCAGGCAGCCTTGGGTCCTACGGTGCTCCAACATGTATTATAGTCAGTGTATTGCAGAGATGGGACCTGCCTGAATTGGTGACTCAGCTGTGGTATGTCCCATTCCATTGGATATGATGCCCCACAAACTAAAAATAACAGCTGGACTTACCTGAAGTGTAGTTTTGAGAGTGGGGCATTGTATCCAATGGACCCAACCCTAGGGTGCTCTGCTATACACTGTTGGGAGGAATATGCTCCAACCTGAGTGCTAGTTTGTCACATTCCTTGTGTTGTGTTTCCTTGCCATTCAGATACTTAGCAATTTAGAGATTTTATTATAGAAATTTCCAGAAGGGGGAAGTAGGCAGGTATTTTCTTTCTCTTTATGGACTCTGTCAGTACTTGGCTTGGCAAATCCAGAAAACTGAGGGAGTCCAGCCTACTTCCCACAAGTCTTTGCTCCTGTCTAGTGTCTCACAATAGGGTGAACATCCATTCCATTCCATTGGATACGACGCCCCACTCTCAAAACTACACTTCAGGTAAGACCAATTGTTCTTTTTACAACTTGAAAATGATTTCTTCTTATATATTGCAGGCAGCTGTTTCTGATCAGGAAAGGAAAAAAATGAAGCGGAAAGGTGATCGTTATTCAACACAGACTTCCCTTATTGTGGCAGCTTTAAAAAGACTTCTGCCTGTTGGGCTAAATATTTGTGCCCCTGGTGACCAAGAACTAATTGCACTGGCAAAAAACAGATTAAGTATGGTAGGTTAACTATACAGATCTGCTTTTATATCTAGGTTGGCAGAGAGGTGATGTGTTCCCTCTTACTTGTCCTATATATTTTTCAATACCTGCCATTCTTCATAATTATTTCTATAGGGAAAATGCTTTATCCTGCGAGGTGTGTTTGGCATATGTGGTTTCTTACTTTGTCTCAGATTTCTCTGCAGCGCCCAGAACCAGATCGTGTCGTCTTTACCACCCCCCTGCCTCATTTTCTTTAAGCTTCTGCGCAACTTCCAAGCGCAACTTCCTCTCCTTTCTGGGCCGATTTACCTGAAAGTAAGTGCCTTTGCACTCAGTGTAGCTTCTCAGTGAGTAGGAGTTCATGACCGAGGAAGCCCCAAGTCCATCCTCTCTCCCTACTTTTCAGCTTTGCTTGCTTCTTGCTTTCAGGTGTCTGGGTAGCTGCCACATTTCCCAGTAGCATGGGGCACCTGCATGCAAGAGGCAAGGTTGCAGCAAAGGGGCGCAGGAGGTTCCTTTGCACTGAATGGGGCTTACTTATGGGAAGGAGCCAGCCACGCCCCATCACAGCTGCATCACTCACTCACCCACTTCATAAATTGACCGCATAAAAATGATGTGGTTTTACCATCACTAAACAGGATTTGGATACTGCAGACAAGATGCATAGAGTGGGGACCACTTTTTTAATATATGTAGGCCTGCACTGCAAAGTTATTGAAGCAGGGATATGAAACAAATACCACAGTTTTCAACTAGGCCCCCTTTAATGGTTCCTCATCATCCTGGGGAAAAAGTGACAAGTGGGGTGCTGCAAGGTTTTGTTCTGGGGCCTTTGTTGTTTGACATCTTTATAAATGACTTGGATGAGTGAGAACTGGATTCCCCCCCCCCCAAGTATTCTTTTTAAATGTTTTGCAAAAGCACTGGAGGTCTTCTGCACACCATACTCAAAGGAAACACATGCAAAACTACAGTTGTTTCCACAGTTAACAGGGCAATTGCCACCCACACCTAAGGCAGATATTAGTAACAGAATAAACTACAATCTAATATACCATATACTGTCTTACCACCACCATTCAGAATATAACCTGTTCTGTTTTGACTACTGGCAAATACGATCTGTTACATAGTATTTTCAGAACTGCATGCTTGTAACAAAATGAACCTATTGATAATATGTATATTTTCTTGGCAGAAAGACACAGAAGATGAAGTTCGAGATATTATACGCAATAACCTTCACTTACAGGGCAAGGTAATTTTAAAGTATTGCATCTTGGTCACCCTTGCATATTCTGTATGGTGTTCAGGATACCATCTATGTAGTTGAGTTTGGTTTTTTTTATGAGTCAAATATCTCATGCTTTGCCCTGTTTCATAGTAACTAACACTCTTTTGTTTAGCTGTTTTAATGGCCTTTTAGGTTAAAGCACATAGTTTAGGAATATCCAGTTTAGTTTTCTACTTATAGAGTGTACTCACAGATTACTTCTGCTTTGCTCCTTCCCTAATGTTAGAAGGAGCAACAAACCACTGTCCTTGACTTGGTGTTACTTGTGAACCAGGGATTGTGATATTTGCACTCAAACAGACTTTGGCTTCACATTGTGGTTTTTTTGGAGTAGTATGCTACTGGCTTAGTGGCAATTAACCTTTGCAAAGTTTCACTCATCTGCTGGAAGCACTTTTGTGTGGCAGCAGCTCTTTGAAGTAGCTGTAATATGTAAGAGTTGCTTACATATGTAAGAAGTATTACACCCTCAACTGGAAAGTTTCTATGACACTACTGCATATTTTTGGAAGCAATTGGCCCTTGCACAGGAACTCTGCAATCTACATGACGGATGGAGAGCTTTTTTATTTTAATGCCTCCACACCATGCTACTGCCGTGCAGAACCATTTCTGAATCACTGTAATATGCAATAGACATATTTTGATATGATTCTTAGGTATGTCTTAAAAGCCATCTTGGTATTAAGCAGTATATAAATTAATGAATAATCCTAATATACATGCACAGACACCCACCCAGCACTTTTTGCTCCAAAGCTCATCAGATCAGTGAACAATATATAAATATGAAAGGAATATACAATAAAAGTACAATAAATCATATTGTATATCTGGAAGGCTAATTATCCTGCAGCAGTTGGAACTGTTAAGCTACTGAAAAGTTCTGTCTTTGAGATAATGGAGATATTGACTGCTTGGTATCTGCATGACAGCGATGAGGAGTAGATTAGAGGCATGGTTGGGGGAAATAGTGTATTTTATGTTTGCAAGCTTATGTACAAGAGAGTAACCTACAGGCTGCTTGATCATTCAATCCATGCCTACACCAAATCTCTTCTTTCTGTGACAATTAAGTTGTGGCCTCATTCGTGCCGGCATCTGGCTCTTATCTGTTATTTGCTGTTCACTTGCCACTTTGTGGGTGGCACTGTGGGTTAAACCACAGAGCCTAGGACTTGCCGATCAGAAGGTCAGCTGTTCAAATCCCCGCAACGGGGTGAGCTCCCGTTGCTCGGTTCCTGCTCCTGCCAACCTAGCAGTCGAAAAGCACGTCAAAGTGCAAGTAGATAAATAGGTACCGCTCCGGCGGGAAGGTAAACGGCGTTTCTGTACACTGCTCTGGTTCGCCAGAAGCGGCTTAGTCCTGCTGGCCACATGACCCGGAAGCTGTATGCCGGCTCCCTCGGCCAATAAAGCGAGATGAGCGCCGCAACCCCAGAGTCGGCCACGACTGGACCTAATGTTCAGGGGTCCTATTTTTTTTTTTTTTGCCACTTCTTGCATCATTGTGCCTGGTCCTATGAATGTTTATTCAGAACTAAGCCCTGCTGTATTCAATAAGGTAGACACTCCTGCTTTGAAATAGTACTGGCCTGGACTTCCAGGTTGGCGCCTCTGGCAATGGCGGATTTCCTCCGATCGGGAGGAATCCGCTCCGTGGAAAAAAGGGTCTGAACCGCCACGGCGAGGCGGAGACCCATCAAAAACCACAGGCGGGAGAAGCCTGTGGACGTGGGATTCGGCTGGCACCTTTGCGCCCCCCCAACTCGCAGGGAACCCCGGTTTCAGGGATCCGGAGCGACGTGGGGTGAGTGGCGCGGTGCTTTGAATCGACTGCTTCTTTCACGGAGTGAAGCCGCATTGCTGTTGCCGGAGAGCGCTGACTTTTCCCTGTGGACAATTGGATTTTAAATAACTGCCCGTGAGTAGAACGGAAAATTGGATTAAGAAATTTCTTTTAATTTGGCACTGAAGCGGGAAGGTCTAAACAGGAAGTCCGCCTTCCGCTTTTGTAGATAGATTAAAGCAAAGATACGGCAAGCTAGAGTTTAGAAAGTCGTCTGTAAAGGATCAATTTTCATCATTTAAAATTACTAAACCCCCCTTGGAAGCAGGAGAAGAGGGGGGAACATCTTCTGGACTGTTTAAACCTGCAGAAGAGAGAGTAAAGAAAAGCAATTTTCCACCGTCTTGAACCTGGGAGCGGGGTGTCAGGATAGACGTCCTCAGGAAGTTCATTGACTATAGACAAACGTTTTTGACAGATAGTTAAAAGAAGAGAAACATATTGATTCCATTGTTCCCCTTCGCATCTAAAAGGAACAAAATATTGACAAAATATCTGGAAAAGGAAACTTTGTTGTTAGATCTGCTTTAAAAAAAAAGGAAAAAAAGAGAGAGATGGATACAAATAGAAGCTTTTTCCCCTAGAGGGAGCTTGCGAAACTGTTATTAAATCTGAACTGGGGAGCTTTGCAGCTGCAATAGATTAAGATCGTGGGACCAGACTCTGACCTTGTACAAGAATGTACTCGGAGGCTCTGGTGCTTGCCTTCTGCAAGACAAGTGCTTTATTGGAACAGTTACATGAGAAGACGGATTTGATGACTGTTGCGATCGGAAATTTTGGACAGGCAGTGGGTACCTATATAGAACCCACTCAGGAATTAATCCAGGAGTGTGCTCTGACAGATCAGATGAGGGAGGAGGTTGTTGCTGGACCTCGGGAGGCAGAGATGGAGGGAATTGTGGCCCAGCAGGAACATGAATTGTTGGATTTGACGAATGAACCTGGAAAAAGCCAGATTTGGAGAGATAGAGTCTTGTTTGGCTTGGAGATGGGGGGCTGGATAGACCCCCCTATGCAGGGATGTTTTGACCTTTCAAGTCTGGCTTTGGGCCGGGAGGAGTTCGGAGTTGTGGGGGCCCTTAACTTTGGAGGGACCTTGAAACATGCTTTTAAATACCACATGGAGTTCAGTGTTGACTATGGAAAAGGGGCTGATCTGTCGAGAAGGGACAAAAATATTGTCAAGCTGGAGTCTCCACAAGTGAAAGGAGCAGAAGACAAAGTAAAGTACAGGTATAAATATGAAGAAGACCTGCGGAAGGGACATGGAAGAGATTTAAGAGCTTCGGACATAAGGTTACCAGGTTGAAGAACTAGATGGATGGGATAGAAAGGACTGACAAAACCCGAGACCAGGAGGAAGAGACGTTGGATGAAGATTGGAAGAAAGTTTTTTAAAAATTTATTTAGGAAAGTTTTGTAAAATTAATGAGTATTAGAAAAATGTTGGAACGAAATTATTTGGCTTTAGCAGAAATGTTAAAAAGAATTATGTAAGAATATGTTATGGTTATGAGAAATTGGTATAAATAAGATTGAAGTTTTAGGCTTTAGGGTTTTTTATGGTAAGATAAGGTTAAAATAGATTAAGGTAATTTAATGACAGAATATTATGAAAGATGGAAAGGATTTGCTGAGATAATTAATAACTAGAATACAAAAAAGGGAGGTGCGAGGAGGTCGATGAAATAAGGTAATGACAGTTAAGGATTTGGGAATATTGGATCTGTTTTTAAATTTTTTGTCTATTATTGCTTTTTGATTTTGATGTATTATGTGTTTTGCTTTTTCTTTTTGATTTTTATTTTTATTGATTTGTATTGTTTAATTGTTACTTGTTTTTTCCTTCTTTTTCTCTTCGTTTCTTTGTAATCTTAAAATTCTCAATAAATATTATTAAAAAAAAATGAAATAGTACTGGCCTAGTTTAAGAAGTTTTATAATGCTATTTATGATCTGCCCTTAACCAAGGGACCACTGAAACTCATTATCTATCATGCTACCATGGTAGCAGCTGGAACTTTCAAGGTAAAGGACTAGAAAGTTAAAACAGCTTTTTGGTTGTCCTCCAGTGAGGAGGCAATGTTATTCCCTTTGAGAAGGGTGGGGAACCTGTGGTTCTCCAGATGTTGTTGAATTCAAAGTCTCATTAGCCCCGACCAACATGAACAGTGGTTAGGAATGATGGGAGTTGTCATTCAACAACATCTGGAGGTAGGGATGGATGGATTGGTCCAGTTCATGTCAGTTTTGCACTTGTCCACCCCGTTTCCACATTAATCTGCAGTGTGTGTGTGTCTATCTGTACTTCCAATATGTATTTTATCGTAAAAATATTTAAATATGTATTTTAACTGAGATTTCTAAAAATATATTATTATAAAATGTGCTTTTAAGCCTTTCGGTACTTTTTTGAGCCAATAACTCTATCACAAAATTTGGAAAAGTGTGAAATCCGAAGGGATAGCTATATTTTGGTCCATGTATTAGTCTCGGAGGTGTAAGTTATATAAATTGTCCCCTGCTGTAGGCTGTATCTTACTACTTGATGATTTGCCCAGGGTTAGTAATTCTGGAGAAAAAATTGGATAAGACTTGACAAGGGAGTCTTGGCAACCCATGTAGGCTAGTTCTGTTTAGAAGAATGGTTTATATTGGTCCTAGCAAGTTGATACTTATTTTTAATGCTTACATTCTTCATAAAATCCCTTCTTCCTGCAGCTTGAAGATCCCGCCATTAGGTGGCAGGTTGCTCTTTACAAAGATCTACCAAACAGGACTGAAGTTACTTCAGATCCAGAGAAGACGGTGGAAAGGGTCCTGGATATAGCTAGTGTACTTTTTCATCTGGAACAGGTTAGATATATATTTTAATATTCTTAAAGTCTATTTTTAAAAGGCTCTCAACTACGGCTTTCAAATATACTTTTTGTAGCATTGTGACAATTTGGGAATCTGGGATTCCTACCACAATAGTACAGTAAGAAATAGTACAGTGAGAAAATATTATGGACACATGAATCTATTTTGTTCAGAATGTGTATTTTACAGAAAAACAACTAGGAAGTGCATACATAAGTATTTTCAATACAGAGATCCACAGTATTTGCTGGCATAACTCAATGATTTTCTTTAGCTTTCATTTAAAACTTCCAAGCTGCCCATGAGTAGGAGATTAACAATTTAACGGCACATACCACCAGAATAAAGTCAACTTGATTTAATGCTCCCAGTTAGGCTGGTTTTTTGCAGTTATGTTCTGAAACATGCCACTGATATAATAATAGAGCTTCCCTCCCATGCCAATTAGCAGCTTTGGAGTTGTTCATGAGACTACACAGTGCAGGAGGAAATGTTACTGCGATCCTGATTCGTTCCCAAAATGACTGCTGTGTACACTTTTAAAAATATTCACACAGTTCCAGGTGACATGTTTGACTTTGTGTGTTGTTTGGCCCTAAATCAAAAGCCATCAAGTCTTGATGTTTTCCACTTTTCTCCAAAGCTTTCTTTTATCTGTATGTGACATAAAGTACATTGTTTTGGTCTTTCATTTTTTGCTTCATCTATTACTTTCCTTTTTATTATTACTTCCAGAAATTCCCTAGTCGGGGCAGAAAATTTTTCAAAAGGGGAAGTATGGAGTGTCTTTTCATATTGCTAATTATGTTAGCTTTACCTATTAATAGTTTTTTTTAACCTATGAATATATTTTTGTCTTTTAATTTATATTTTAAATCACATTTTTAAATGCCCATTCTCATAACATGCTTGTTCCACATTTGTTTATTCTGCACTGAGGGCTGTTTTGTAATACACAGTTGTAATACACAATTACCTCCAAAGGGTGCTTTGATTTCTTTGCCTGACTAATTAAGTTTCCGTATTCACAGTATGATCCTTATGTGTTCTCCCCCCCCCATGGTAATTAGGTAAATTCGTCTCTTTTATCAGAGATCTGTTCTTTAATTTAAAAGTGACCTCACCAGCATGTGATTTGAAGTACTATCTTTTGATTAACTATAAAGACCAATATTGTTTCCCAAGTAAATCTGTGGTGACCAATGTACGTAACATTTGTAACCTTCTTTATATTTTATGTTTTAGCTAATTCTATTTAACTCCAGTTAACATTAAATTCTTTTTAATGGTCTTGATCTTTCTTACAAAATAGACAAATATGCCACGGGTAGTTTAAATGTTTTCTGAACTATTTATTTTTCAAATTAGAAGTGGGGAAGTTAAAAAGAAAAGCTTTTCCCCTGCTAGTCCCTTCATCTACCACCACTACTAGAAGTAGTAAGCTATATTCCAGATAACTTTAAGCATATCCAAAATCTTCCATGTTTCCTGTGGAACATCTGCTTTGTTTTCCTTTGGACAGCAGACTTGCATGCTGTATCACAAATGACTTCTGAAATCTAATTTTTAAAAGCAGTTTCCTGTGGGGCAACAGGGGAGCGGTTGTTCAAGAAACATGTTTTCAAAGACTTGCTGGGGGCATAATTTTCTAGATTGTGGCCATAATATTCTGGTAAAGGTTTGAATGGGGATGACCAAAACCTTTTTTAAAAGTTTTCATTTTGCCATTTATATAACATTTGGTTATTGCATATATTGCATATATATGCATTTGGTTATTGCACATACTAAGCAAATTATATGCATAGTATTGCATATAATATTTCTTAACATTTTAAAAACCAATAGAGCAAGATGTCCTAACTGGGGATAATTTGGCGGGGGGGGGGGGGACGACGACACTGTGTTCTAGGCTTAGGGCATTTTAGATGAACCAATAAGAAGCTAACACCATACTTCAGCATAGTATTTTTGGCCTGCAACTGTTATGAGGTTTTAATTTTTTTAAAAAAATGAAGCAACAGTCTAGAAGAGGTGTTTAATTTCTGTTTTCTGTTTCTATGTGTGCTACAGGTTGAGCATCCTCAGAGATCAAAAAAAGCAGTATGGCATAAACTTCTATCTAAACAGAGAAAAAGAGCGGTGGTGGCTTGCTTCAGAATGGCACCACTATATAATCTTCCACGGTGCGTGTGATCATGAAGATTTGTGTATATTATATTGCTGTCCACCTAGGTATATTGCTAACTAGGAGGGGAGGGGTGAATGAGGGAATACAATTGAACAAGGAACTAAGATGGTTAACTTTAAAAATGCCTAGCAGGTTGGCTATACACTTCCTTTAAAAATTATTGTGGGTGATCAGACCAATCATAGCGGCTGCCAGTCAGGCTCTGCAAGCCTTATTGGCTTCTCTGCTTGTAAAAGAAACATCATAATGATAATGATAATGATAATGATAATTTTTAGTTGAACCCTGCCCTCCCCGGCCAGAGCCGGGCTCAGAGCGGCTAACAGCATATAAATAACTCAGTATACATAAAAACAGGCACCAATTAATTAAAATACATCTTAAAATTAATTCAGACAAATTAAAATCTGGACAAATGGCAGTTATCAGGTTAAGATTGAGAGCGGTTAATACTTGCCAGGACCAACTGCTTTCACTGATCATATAAGGACCTGTGAACAGCCTGGGAGGCCCCCTTCATGCTTGTTCTTATACAAAGGAAAATAGGTCAGACTGCACTCTGGCCAAAGGCCTGGCAGAACAGCTCTGTCTTGCAGGCCCTGCAGAAAGATGTCAAATCCCGCATGGCCCTAGTCTCTTGTGAGAGAGCGTTCCACCAGGCTGGGACCATGGCCGAAAAGGCCCTGGCTCTGGTTGAGGCCAGTCTTAATTTCCCTGGGACCCGGGATCTTCAGAGTGTTGTTGTTTGCAGACTGTAAGGTCCTCCGTGGGGCATACCAGAGGAGGCAGTCCCGTAGGTATGAGGGTCCTAGGATGTATAGGGCTTTAAACGTTAAAAACCAGCACCTTAAACCTGATCCTGTACTCCACCAGGAGCCAGTGCAGCTGGTATAGCACTGGGTGAATGTGATCCTGTGGTGAGGACCGTGTAAAGAGTCTCGCCGCGGCATTCTGCACCTGCTGGAGTTTCTGGGTCAGTTTCAAGGGCAGCCCCACGTAGAGTACAGGCTTCTTACTTTATTTACTGATTTAGACAATGTATATAATGTTTAATCACAATACTCTCTAAGCAGTGTACAATGTAATGCAATGAGAATGAACACTATAATATCAGAAATCAGTTTCAAAATTGGATCACATTCCACAAAACATGAAACACACACACACACATCTATCTATCATCTACTTATCATCTTTATCTTCTTATAGTCAATACTTTATAGAAGGGAGGAAAGGTGACATGTAGTTTCAGATCATGCTTATAGTCAATGAATCCTCATATCCAGTTAATTCATAATAAGCTTTATGGAATGAACAACAAAGACCTCTTTTTTAAATTGTTCACCAGTTGTAGTTATTTATTTTGCTTATTCGGTATGTTCAAAATTTTAGACTAATATGGAATGGTCATATACACATACATACACACTACTTTCCCTTTTCTTTTTCAGGCATCGAGCTGTCAATCTCTTTCTTCAAGGATATGACAAGTCGTGGGTGGAAACAGAAGACCACTACTTTGAAGACACACTGATAGAAGATTTAGCAGTATGTTTGCAGTTCATGGTATTTAAAACCTTTTGTTGATGCTGAGGGCAATTGCTTTGCACTGCATGGCAGTTCCGAAAGGTGGCAACGTCAGGGAATATGCCGCCAATTGCTGGAAGCAAAAGGAGGGGAGAGTGTTCTTGTGCTCTGGTCTTACTTGCTGGTTTCCTGCAGACATCTGCTTGGCCACTGTGAAACAGGGTGCTAGATTGTTGGGCCATTGGCCTGATCAACCATATTCTTAGGATAGGGAGAAAAATAGACCTTTCCCAGTCCCTAAATCTAGGGCACATTGAAACTCCTGGATCAAGTGGAAACAGTCAGGAAAGCAGGCAAGAGGGAGCCCTGCAAAGGACCTTTGAACAGCTGGACTAAAATACCTGCTTCAGCAAGTAAGATCCAGAGAGGCAGGAAACTGGAGGCAGTGAAGGAAATGTGGGGGAAGATAATGTAGTCAAATCCCCAGTTCCATGCTTGGAGCTGTGATGAGCAATGTAATTTTCAGATAAAAGTGATTTCAGCAAGACATGAGACTGTGGTTATTTCTTTTATGGACATCAGTTGGCATTAGAAATTCTTTAGCCAGTGTGATTAAGTTTAGACTCTCCGGAGACCATAGCAAAGCCATTTAAAAATCATATTGATGACTCTTGTGCAGAGGGACTCACAGGCTCTTGTAGCTAGCAGATGGTGTAACATGCTATTTTAAAACATAGTTTCAGTGCTATTTTCCTGGGGGGATACAGGGGTACGCATACCCCTAAAAATTTTGTGGATCTAAGTTTGGCCTCATTGAGGGGCAGTATTTCAATATGAGTAGGAAAATGAGATGACCCCTAAACATTTTTTTAAAGAAAAAAAGCACTGCATAGTTTGATGTATTTTTTTTTAGTCAAGAGCTATGACATAATATTTGGGAAAGGTGAAAGTCTTTGGACAACTGAGTTCTGATCCACACATTAGTCTGAGGCATGTAGATTAGCTCAGCTCATATTGAAAAGAACAAATTCCTCAAGCATCCCTCATCTAAGCCCATTGATATGGAAGTAAATTTGATGGCGTATGAATAAGACTTCTGCATAAACACATTTACAAGTTATCAAATATTTAAAATCTTGATGTTTTCGTATTTCTTTAATAGAAACCTGGAGAAGAACCACCAGAAGAAGATGAATGCATTAAGAGAGTTGATCCTTTGCACCAGCTTATTTTACTGTTCAGTCGAACAGCATTAACTGAAAAATGGTGAGAGTGATGGGAGAAGGAGGATATTTATGATTTTTCATTAATTGCTTTCTCTCCAGATGTGCATTTTTAGTTCACTTGGAAATAGTAATGGGCTAAATGTAAATAAATTAGGGCCAGTTCATAGGATTGTATTGTACTAAATCAATATTGGAGTAGACCCAATGAAATCACTGGACTAGCCATGATCCATTGATTTCAGCGGGTGTGCTCTGAGTATGTCTTGGTTGGATATAACACATAGTGTTTTAATTGTTCTTCAGTTATTTCCCTCCTAGGATTTTGAATGGGATTGTGAAGTATAAATACCAATTAATTTTGAATTCATCTATATCTCTTTTAAAAAAAAATACTCATCACTAAGAGAGAAAAGGCTATAGCTATTTCAACTAAAATGTTTTAGCTAAAGTTGAGCAAAGTTGAATTTTGAAAGATGTTGATGTCTTTTCTTCTGTTATTGAAGCACAAAACAATTACTAACTGAATATTTTGGTATTACAATTGTCTTTAGGACCTTGTTTGTTTATATTTCATTTGCTGAAAACCATATTCTAGGAGAATAGGCAAAATAATGTGAGGGAATTTTTATTTGTTTGCCACTTTTCAATAACAGCAACAAACACCTCTCACCCCACCAAAATTCACTAAACAATAGTGAATCTGTTAAGAGTCTGTTAAGCAGTCTCAGCTTCTGCCAGGCCAGATGAAAAAAGGCTTGCAAGGCAGGAAGCAGGTCTTCCAGGACTCACAGCCAAGGTGGCTTGCCATCATAGAACTGGCTATAGAGACAGCAAAACATCAGAAGCCTTCTCAAAGTTGGACAATGATCTGTTCAGCCTGCACCACTAAGAGTAACTGCTACCTGATGTCACATTATAGGCACATAAAAGCACCCTTCATGGGTATGTAACAATTGTCTCTCTTATGATAAACAGTAACCACTTATTCTTCATTTTATTACACTACAGTAAACTGGAAGAAGATTATCTTTATATGGCATATGCTGATATAATGGCAAAGGTATTTTCTTCATTTTTTCACTCAATTTTTCCATCTCTAGTAGCGGTATCAAGTTTTGTAAATGCTTGACTCTAAATACACACCTTGGTGACTCGCAATGCTTACCTTAAAAATCATTCACCATATGATTCCCCATATCCTTTTCTAACTCAGGTTTTAATCTGACTCATCCCACCCACCATTTACTGGTTACAGTAGCAGGTTGGGAGGGATAAGTCTCTCTCGCTCCAATGTTTGCAATATGCTAGGAGCTTTGAGAAATGTAATTATCCCAGGGCATCTGAAAGCCACAGGCAGGTAAAGGGCTAAAGGAAGTGGTATTTGGAGGGTCTTGGGGTAGGGATCAGACTCTGTTATGCAGCTGGTATAATTTCTTTGAGTAAAATATATCTGTTGGCTGAGTTCAGTTAAAAACTGAGCCCAAAGTAGTTTGCTTATCACTATAAACACACACAAGCACTGTAAAAGACATGGGGTAATACCCAGTTGTGGGAGTCTGTGAGTACTGCACAATGGGGATTCCCTGTCTTTTTCATTCCGCTGCTCCAAGGGGTTGGGGACTCTCAAGAGCATATTACATGAAACATAGAAGACTTCAGGGAAGAAAATAGGAAGGGGAAAACTATTTGGTGAGGGGAAGTCCACTTGTGTGACTTTGGGCTTTGCAGTGTGTACTTAGCACGTCTTTCTTTTTTTTAAGTGGGAGATTTTTCTTAGTGAAACGAGAATTTGACTTTAAAAGTTCGTTTGTAAGTATGGTGTTCTTTTCACGTGGTTTCAGAGCTGCCATGAAGAAGATGATGATAATGAAGAGGAAGTCAAGAGTTTTGAAGTAAGATTGTTATTACTGTTTACAACTTACGTTTTATATTGTACATTATTTCATAACATCTAACTAGCATTTTTTGGTTCATGGTTTTCTATATTTAATGCCCTTTAGACATAGCATAACTATCCTTCCATGTTATCTGTTTGAATACCACACCACTAAAAGCAAAATCCAATTATCAGATTTTACACTGCTTTCAAAATACACTAGTGAGGGGCTTTGATGGGAATGTTGTTCCACATTTAAAATGTAGCCATTTGGAAAGTATTCTTTGCAAAAGTTGTAAATAGACAAAACACAGTGCCCTTGCTCTCCAAATGCATACAAGCAATCTTAAAACATGATCCTAGAGATTGTAGCTTGATATTAGGTAGAAGATGTACCATCACGTCCGTTAGATGCAGTATGTAAAATGTTTTCTAGGCCAAGATCAGCACATAGTTGTTGTTGTTTAGTCGTTTAGTTGTGTCCGACTCTTCGTGACCCCATGGACCAGAGCACGCCAGGCGCTCCTGTCTTCCACTGCCTCCTGCAGTTTAGTCAAACTCATGCTGGTAGCTTTGAGAACACTGTCCAACCATCTCGTCCTCTGTCGTCCCCTTCTCCTTGTGCCCTCACTCTTTCCCAACATCAGGGTCTTTTCCAGGGAGTCTTCTCTTCTCATGAGGTGGCCAAAGTATTGGAGCCTCAGCTTCACGATCTGTCCTTCCAGTGAGCACTCAGGGCTAATTTCCTTAAGAATGGATGCGTTTGACCTTCTTGCAGTCCATGGGACTCTCAAGAGTCTCCTCCAGCACCATAATTCAAAAGCATCAATTCTTCGGCGATCAGCCTTCTTTATGGTCCAGCTCTCACTTCCATATATCACTACTGGGAAAATCATGGCTTTAACTATACGGACCTTTGTTGGCAAGGTGATGTCTCTGCTTTTTAAGATGCTGTCTAGGTTTGCCATCTCCTTTCTCCCAAGGAGCAGGCGTCTTTTAATTTCGTGACTGCTGTCACCATCTGCAGTGATCATGGAGCCCAAGAAAGTAAAATCTCTCACTGCCTCCATTTCTTCCCCTTCTATTTGCCAGGAGGTGATGGGACCAGTGGCCATGATCTTCATTTTTTTGATGTTGAGCTTCAGACCATATTTTGCGCTCTCCTCTTTCACCCTCATTAAAAGATTCTTTAATTCCTCCTCACTTTCTGCCATCAAGGTTGTGTCATCTGCATATCTGAGGTTGTTGATATTTCTTCCGGCGATCTTAATTCCGTCTTGGGATTCATCCAGCCCAGCCTTTCGCATGATGAATTCTGCATATAAGTTAAATAAGCAGGGAGACAATATACAGCCTTGCCGTACACCTGTCCCAATTTTGAACCAATCAGTTGTTCCATATCCAGTTCTAACTGTAGCTTCTTGTCCCACATAGAGATTTCTCAGGAGACAGATGAGGTGATCAGGCACTCCCATTTCTTTAAGAACTTGCCATAGTTTGCTGTGGTCGACACAGTCAAAGGCTTTTGCGTAGTCAATGAAGCAGAGGTAGATGTCTTTCTGGAACTCTCTAGCTTTCTCCATAATCCAGCGCATGTTTGCAATTTGGTCTCTGGTTCCTCTGCCCCTTCGAAATCCAGCTTGCACTTCTGGGAGTTCTCGGTCCACATACTGCTTAAGCTTGCCTTGTAGAATTTTAAGCATAACCTTGCTAGCGTGTGAAATGAGTGCAATTGTGCGGTAGTTGGAGCATTCTTTGGCACTGCCCTTCTTTGGGATTGGGATGTAGACTGATCTTCTCCAATCCTCTGGCCACTGCTGAGTTTTCCAAACTTGCTGGCATATTGAGTGTAGCACCTTAACAGCATCATCTTTTAAAATTTTAAGCAGTTCAGCTGGAATACCATCACTTCCACTGGCCTTGTTATTTGCAGTGCTTTCTATGGCCCATTTGACTTCACTCTCCAGGATGTCTGGCTCAAGGTCAGCAACCACACTACCTGGGGTGTACGAGCCATCCATATCTTTCTGGTATAATTCCTCTGTGTATGCTTGCCACCTCTTCTTGATGTCTTCTGCTTCTGTTAGGTCCTTACCACTTTTGTCCTTTATTATGGTAATCTTTGTACGAAATGTCCCTTTCATATCTCCAATTTTCTTGAACAGATCTCTGGTTCTTCCCATTCTGTTGTTTTCCTCTATTTCTTTGCATTGCTCGTTTAAGAAGGCCTTCTTGTCTCTCCTTGCTATTTTTTGGAAATCTGCATTCAATTTCCTGTATCTTACACTATCTCCCTCGCATTTTGCTTGCCTTCTCTCCTCCGCTATTTGTAAGGCCTCGTTGGACAGCCACTTTGCTTTCTTGCATTTCCTTTTCATTGGGATGGTTTTTGTTGCTGCCTCCTGTATAATGTTGCGAGCCTCCATCCATAGTTTGTCAGGCACTCTGTCCAACAAATCTAAATCCTTAAACCTGTTCCTCACTTCCACTGTGTATTCATAAGGGATTTGACTTAGATTGTATCTTACCGGCCCAGTGGTTTTTCCTAGTTTCTTCAGTTTAAGCTTGAATTTTGCTATAAGAAGCTGATGATCTGAGCCACAGTCCACTCCAGGTCTTGTTTTTGCTGACTGTATTGAGCTTCTCCATCTTTGGCTGCAGAGAATATAATCAATCTGATTGTGATGACCAGCTTGTTCTCTTGGCAGAACTCTATTAGCCTTTGCCCTGCTTCGTTTTGAACTCCAAGGCCAAACTTGCCAGTTGTTCCTTTTATCTCTTGACTCCCTACTTTAGCATTCCAATCTCCTATAATGAGAAGAACATCCTTCTTTGGTGTCAATTCTATAAGGTGTTGTAAGTCTTCATAGAATTGGTCAATTTCAGTTTCTTCAGGACCAGTGGTTGGTGCATAAACTTGGATTACTGTGATGTTAAAAGGTCTGCCTTGGATTCGTATCGAGATCATTCTATCATTTTTGAGATTGCATCCCAATACAGCTTTTGCCACTCTTTTGTTGACTATGAGGGCCACTCCATTTCTTTTATGGGATTCTTGCCCACAGTATTAGATATGATGGTCATCCGAACTGAATTCGCCCATTCCCGTCCATTTTAGTTCACTGATGCCCAGGATGTCAATATTTATTCTTGCCATCTCATTTTTGACCACATCCAACTTACCAAGGTTCATGGTTCTTACATTCCAGGTTCCTATGCAATATTTTTCTTTACAGCATTGGACTTTCCTTTCGCTTCCAGGCATATCCGCTTCCAGGCATATCCCCTTCATGGATCACTGCCTTGCCGTGGCGAAGGGGCTTGAATAACTCGGAGAAGCTATGAACTATGCCGTGCAGGGCCACCCAAGATGGACAGGTCATAGTGGAGAGTTTTGACCAAACGTGATCCACCTGGAGCAGGAACCGGCAAGCCACTCCAGTATCCCTGCCAAGAAAACTCCATGGACAAAGACAAAAGGCATATAAAAGTTATGACGCTGGAAGATGAGCCCCTCAGGTCAGAAGGCGTCCAACATGCTACTGAGGAAGAGCGGAGGACAAGTACAAGTAGATTCAGAGCTGATGAAGCGGCTGGGCCAAAGCCGAAAGGACACTCAGTTGCGGATATGCCTGGAAGCGAAAGGAAAGTCCAATGCTGTAAAGAGAAATATTGTAAAAAAATCAGCACATAGAATAGTGCTCAAAAGGCAAGAGAAGATCAGTGAAGATGTAGCTGCACAGTTGCAGTCTGTTTCCAGTATCTTCCTTCCTGTAAGTGCCCGTTATGAGGTGTGTTGCTGTAATCTGCATAATCCAAAAGCTCCAAGTACCAACAAAGGTAGTTGCTTGTAGATTTTATTTACTAAAGTTAGGCCCCTTCAAGTTCTATGAAGTTTTCAGTAGGAAGGACAGGATTTGGCTTTCCTTACAAAACACTAAGGAATTCCCTCCTGTCGCTTCAACTTTCTTCTGCCATCCCAAAATGAAGTGAATTTCCCTTCCATCTTTTGTGGAGGGTGAATGTTCCCTCTATTCCTGTGGATAGAAAGATGCTGGAAAAGGTAGCCAGGAGAGGTGGTCCCTGCAAGACATTTTGTACCCAGTGTCAAAACACATGAAGGATGATTGAAATGTGAACAGTGCCTGCATCTCATATTAGTCCCATTCTTCTCTCTTTAAATAAATATGCACAGGGACCCTACTGCTATACATGTGTTTTAGGCAGGAATGGAGGTGATGTACAAAGGGATATGCCACTCACATATTTTGTACTTTGGTGATCATGCCCAAGTACAAAGTTTCACAGGAATTGTTCCTTGGTCTTCTCATAAGAAGTAATATCCTCATGATTTCACTGCAATGTTTCTAAGAAAGTGGCTGATCTAGGAGAACTTCAAGGCTAAGAATTGCCTGTTCTTCTAAAGTCTCTGAGCTCACCATTATTTTGGTCTGGTTTCAGCAGCAGTCACCTCTCCTACATCAGTACTCCATTATGGCAAGATAATTAATAGAGAGTCAGAGCCCTAGGTTGAAGAGGTGTCACTTACTATCATACTAATGACCCTGGATTCTACATTTCTGCAATATATTTTCCAGAGAATCCTATTTACATGCTGAATAGGAGCAACTGGCAAGACACAACCAAACCCTGTGGGATTTTACTCACCACAATCTTCTAGGATTTCCTTGCCACGTAGCAATTTTTTTGTTCCTGTTTAATTTGTCTTCGCCTCTACATGATTCTGTGTTTCTATTCATTATCAGTGTATAATTTCATAGGTTAACCAGGCTATTGTCAGCCAACAATCAAAATCAATGTGTTTCTCAAGACTCAACTGGTGTGATATCCTATCTTGCACACAGAAGGGTAGAGATAAATTATTTTAGGGGGCAACAATCTTCTTGATATGCTTTATCATTGAAACACTGCATTTTAAAAAAAAATAGAACTTGGGTAGTTTTCTCATGCAAACTTGAGAGATGTGTCAGTGTGATAAGTCAAAAACTACAATTAACTGAGTTATTAAAAATATAAGGGATATTGTTATCTCACATGTTAGAGATACAGAGGATATTATTTACATCCAATAAAGGTCCTGGAGGTAGATATGTTACAAGTGTTAGTATGTGGGTTTTTTAAGAAAAATTATTCCTACCTGCATTAAGAACATTCATGAAGCATTTTTGTTTTGATATGTAAAAGTATTTAGTGATGTATATAGTTTACAGCACATGTGATAATGGCCATTAATTGAAATTAAATATAGTAAAAACTGTTATTTATTTAATTGAAAATAAAGAGATCAGATTGCACAGTTTCCACCTCATAAATTCTCATATTCTGGAGCTTCCCTTTTTTATATATATGATCAAAGGAATGTTCTTAGGCACTCAGTAAGGAATCTGTTTGTTCACGGGTCATTCTCCTTCATAGAAGACAACATGCAAGCAGCACTTGGAATGTTGCCCAATGGATATGGTGGACATATACTTAAAAATAAATAAATGCTGACCACTATCAGAAAGTGATTACATGTGCTGATTCGTGCAGTTAGATTTTTTAGGTAAATGTAGGAGGAAAGCTTTTTGTATTCCTCTTTCTTCATCAGTAAAATAGAAATAGTTCACAGAGGCTGTGAAAAACACATTAAATATTGTTTTGATGTAGAACTGTTGTTTTTTGTCGTATCCCTCTCCCTGTCTTCTCCCATCATCCTTGTTTGCTATTACTAATCATTGTTGTCCATGAACTACATTTGTTTGTTTTTGTTAACTAGTTTATTTCAGTCTTTTATATGTCTGTGATAAATCTTAGTAAAAATTTCACATATTTTAAAGTACTTTTTGCATAATATCTTTCTAGAGTATTCTAGCAAGATGCATCCAGCAGAATTATGGTTGAATGAAAGAAACTGCCAGTGACCAAGAAAAGGGAAAAAAGTAGATTAATCAGCTTCCGTATCTGTCACTGTGCACATTTGGAAGTCATTAATGCTATTGTTAGGAAAATTTTAATATCTCATTCTAATTTTGAAAAGAAAAGTTGTTGTGTAGAGGAAAAGGACTAACTGAATAACTGCATAAAGCAGATTCAGACTTTTCTTCCTTGTTTTAGTTTTTCTGTTTTAAGTTGCCTACAGAGACGTGGAAGCAAGGGATAGTTCTTTTATGAAATATATATTTGGTTGATCAGTTATCATTGGAGTACTTTGGACACTTTTTTCTTATTGCTATTTCACTTCTTATCCTCGCCTTTCCCTAAGGTCACAGGATCCCAACGCAGCAAGGTAAAATAATGTGTGTGTGTTTATGTGGGTCTAATTTTGTGGTATTTAGTTTTGTTAGACCCAACATCTTGGACAAGCTCTCTAAGGATGCTTTCATATATTTCTGAATCTTTTCAGTTCCAAGAGTGACACATGCTCTCTTTTTAAAAAAAAACAAATTCAATGCTTTCTACAATTTCTATTGTAAGAATTAGAATAATAAACTATATTAGGTATACCATACAAAAAACCCCATGGCAAATGAAGCAACTTTTCATTTATTTTCTGTCATCTTCAAAATTTAGTTTGTGGACTAAGTACTCTTGACCACAGTGCAATTTATGATTGTGAAAGCTGAACAGAGTGATCAATAAGAGACTATTTCCATTACTAATTGATAGCAGTCTATTTGGTTGTTTATTGGGATTAAAATATTACTTGGCATCATGTGTGTCAGAGAATGTACTGATAATTTGCTATATAACGACCTTATGTTACTATTTATCCTGGTGTACTGTGCCATGAATATACTAGGGTAAACAATGAAATACAGAGTCTAGCCAAACACTGATTATAAAATGTTTAATTTTACTTTATAAATAGTGGCAGACTTTTGAAAAAGTTTGACTTCAAATTTTATATTTCTAATAAAAGAAGACTTTTGGACAAGAACTCATTCTTGTTTCCATCCCAGCAAACAAGCCAAAGTGAGGAATATCCTGCACTCATATACTAACTCAATGTAAGCCATGCAAACTGCTGTCTCCTAAAGGTAAAGGTCAAGGGGACCCCTGACCATTAGGTCCAGTCGCGGACGACTCTGGGGTTGCGGCACTCATCTTGCTTTATTGGCTGAGGGAGCCGGTATACAGCTTCCGGGTCATGTAGCCAGCATGACTAAGCCACTTCTGGCGAACCAGAGCAGTGCATGGAAACACAGTTTACCTTCCTGCCAGAGCGGTATCTATTTATCTACTTGCACTTTGACGTGCTTTCAAACTGCTAGGTTGGCAGGAGCAGGGACCAAGCAAAGGGAGCTCACCCCGTTGCGGGGATTTGAACCGCCGACCTTCTGATCGGCAAACCCTAGGCTCTGTGGTTTAACCCACAGCGCCACCCGCGTTGTACAAGTCTCCTAGTACTTGACAAATGACAGTGATGTTAATGAACTGTCAACATATTATCAGAAGCACTGTTCAAAGAGATACTGCCATTTCTATTGAACTCATCAGTCTTCGGCATTGACAATCCCTTTATCTGACAGATGTTTCAATATTTGAAGTTACTCTTTGTATTAGTCATGATTAGTTTTTTTGCCTCTAATCCTGTCCGCGTATAATATAGTCTTCATATTTACCCTCAATAAAGGTAAAGGTACCCCTGCCTGTACGGGCCAGTCTTGACAGACTCTAGGGTTGTGCGCTCATCTCACTTAAGAGGCCGGGAGCCAGCGCTGTCCGCAGACACTTCCGGGTCACGTGGCCAGCGTGACAAGCTGCATCTGGCGAGCCAGAGCAGCACACGGAACACCGTTTACCTTCCCGCTGCCAAGCGGTCCCTATTTATCTACTTGCACCTGGGGGTGCTTTCGAACTGCTAGGTTGGCAGGCGCTGGGACCGAGCGATGGGAGCGCGCCCCACCGCGGGGATTCGAACCGCCGACCATGCGATCGGCAAGTCCTAGGCGCTGAGGTTTTACCCACAGCGCAACCCGCGTCCCTATTTACCCTCAATAGCTTAGGAAAATTAACCTCACTAATTCTTTTCATCCTATACTAAAGAACCTAAGGTATTGGTTGTTATGTCCATTTCAAAGGATTGGATAGTAAATGATAAACCCTAGGCTGTAATTCAGGATTGCTCTATTCACTTCTCTTGGTTCGCATCTCATTGTTATACAAATTTTGTGAGATAGAGGGTTTTAAAGCATTTACCTTGAACAATAAATGCTGACTGATCAACAATCCCACTAAATGGCTAAGTCTCTTAACTTAAACCTTGAAGCATTTTCATTCATACTCCTGTGTGAATATGGATGAGCTTATTTCTTTTAATAATCTCTTTCAGAAGGAGACAGTTACAACAAATGGGTAGCACATCCTCCATTGTCTTCATAGAGTGATGAATTCCTCAGGGTTTTTTTTATAAGGCTCATACCACATAACAGCAACCTATTCCACATAACGCACATATTGAAACACTCCACTTGGATCAATTGATGGTCTGGGAGCATTCACGGCTATAGCAATACTGAAGCTAACAGTTGTGGACTCTTCAGTTCTGTCATGTGACCTGTCAACCCAGCATAGAACACTATTTTAAGGGCTTGCTTTCCCTCTGCTAGGCTTAGGCAGAGCATCAGCAGCCTCACTACTGAATGGTGTGTGGATCTGGTACAACTCTGTTGGCTTAATTTACAATGTCTTGCTTTATGCTAGGTTATTTTGCATAGGATTACTAATTTATATATAGTCAAATCCTACCAATTCCTGCCACGTTATATTGTTACTGGCAACCCCAATCCCTGCCAAGCCATGCATGGGATTCCAGGGGTCTTGACCCTCAGCTAGGATCTGTGCTTCTTTGGAGAATTGAAGACGTGGCGGAGGCTGTCGTAGCTGTAAGAAATATGGTTTATTCACATCGTTACTCCTGAGTTTAGATGGAGTTGGAATTTTACAGCATGGTCTCAAAGGGACTTGTTCCCCACAGGATTCCAGCACTGGAGTCCAAGGCATCTCGCCCAGCTTGCTATCAGCCAGCCTGCCCAAGGTGGATCTCTCTATGTTCTCCCTTCTTCCCAGCACACCTTACTGAAGACACACTTTCCCCATCACCCATCTCACACCCGCTATTACCTTGGCAACCTTTGTCTTCCCAGGCCCAAGTATTCCTTATATTAACACCTCTATCCCAGGTGAGGCATTGGCTTGGAAAGGAAACTTACCCTGTATTTTTCCACTGGCCTGCAATCTTACCTTCTATACTCCAAATAGTCAAAATCCTGTCATTTATTAATGTCTAGGGTTTAGGGCCCCCTCCACCCAAACTATAACACCACATTAATACTTGAGGGTGGTTCAACTAGCTCTCCTTTGATGTCCCTTCATTTCACTTACAATACTACAATACTTCAATAATTTCCCATTATCGCTTTTATGTGCATCTAACGAATTCTCTTAATATTCTGTGGCTAGGATCCAACAATGGCTTTTCACTTGCCTGTGATAGTTCTTTTTTGAAGTCCTTTTTTCTAGTGGAAGAGTATTGCATTAGAAAAGAAACCACAAGTTTTTCCATTGGTGCAGGCCTTTGCACAACCCTGATTGATTCACTGTGGTGCTGATACATTATTCTGTTTACAGTTGCTTGAGACTTCACGGGACAGCTGCAATATTTTTTGGTGTGCATGTCAGTTTAGATAGATCATTTTTAATTCAGCTGAGTGCAACTGCAGAATTATTAGGCTGTAAAGAAATATAACAACATTTATTTGCATGATACACTCTATTTATTACTTGACAATTGGCACAAACCATTTGCTTTCAATACTTGTTTCCCTGGGCAATACTTCATAGCATATTTTCCAAGTTACTTTGCTTATCTATAATATTCCATATCTGTAATACAGTGCACCCTCAACTTATGCAAGGGTTACGTTCTTTGCACAAAATCAGAACTCCTGAACCACCTTTGCTGTCCAAGATCTCACAAGTTGGGGGCTGTCTGAGATCGCATGAGATGGCTCTGAGAAGATTATGCAGATGGTATGTAAGGTGGAGGGTATGCTTTCTGCTGCGAGAAAAGTGTGGAAAGAGCCTTTAAGCCCTCTGCCTTACTTAGTGGGCTCTGGGATGTGAGATCTTGGTTTTTCTGGGTCTCAGCTGAAACTGGGTCCCTTCAGATTTGCCACTGCAATTCCCATGTTGGTAGTGGCTTCTCTCTCTCCTTTAAAAATTGTTTAAGGGCTGCTAGCACTGGCTTTGGTTGAAGAAGCAGAAGTCTAGTTGCTACCCTGTTTCCTCCTCAGAATACCTCTGCAATGATTCATGGACACACTAGACACAATCTGCTGGCATTCTGTAGAGGTAAAATAGTGGAACGGGGTGTGTGTGTGTGTGTGTGTGTGAGAGAGAGAGAGAGAGAGAGAGAGAGAGAAATCACTACCATGGTAAGTGACTCAAAATTGGAGGGGTTTTGTGGATCCAAAAAATCCAGATGATCCAGCAACCTCAGTGATAGGGTTGCCACTGTCTTAAAGTTTCAGTCATTTCATCTGCTTGTAGGTGAAAGGATAAAATTTCATTCCCAACACATTACTTTTAGCATAGTACCTGTGACGTAAACAATCTGGGATTCTGAAATAAATTCTTCTGGAATTTCTTGACTATTAACATCTTACATAAATGTGGTTCACTTTGCCGTGGGTCTGAATCATAACTTCACTATTTACTATTATGGATAAATTTAAAAAAAACTACTACAATCATTGGTTTAAAACAATGAAAGTGAGAAAAGGCTCATATATCACAAAGTAATTGCTTCAAATGGTGCTTTCACAATTTGTTTTAAAGCTTTTGTTCTAAAGCAGCTGGAGATGAACTTCTTTTAATGGAAGTTGAGAGTCTGGGGCTGCCGCCGCCCCATACACTAGTTCACCTCACTCTCTCAGTGATCTTGCATGCATCTCTCCAGAATATGTGTGTCAGGGAACTGCCATCAGTGCCGGAGGGAGAGAACAAAATCCAGAGGGATTCCGGAGAGCGTCCCGGGAGTGGGAGAGGCAGCCCATCTTCTGGGGAAGAGAATCAGCGTAGCACCAGTGGAGAAGGGGGGCAGATGGGGGAAGCGGCGAAGCGGTCCCATGACTCCTTGCCGGGGACCAGCGGGGAGAGTAGAGGTCCTCCGCTGCCTACGCCCTCCTTGCGCAGAAGGCTTTCGCGCAGAGAGAGTAGGAGGAGACTAGGTGTCAAAGAGCTTCTTTGCTGGAAGAAGTTTAAGAAACGCCCACTGACGGATACTGCCAGCGATTGAGACAGCCACAGGTGAGTGGCTGTCCGGACAGGAAAGGTTCACTCAGGCAACCCAGCCAGGTGTTTGCACCGGCTTACGCACGAGCAACCCCTAGAACCACTACAATGTTGAGCCATTATACACATAACTATTTGTGAAATTAATCTATAATGAGACATTTAATAGTGTTGTTTCAAGTGGAAGAAGACATTCAGCAGCAAGAAGATTGTATTACATTTGTCACATACCTGTATATTTGTGTTCTGTGTTAAAGTATGCAATAATGTTTCTTTTCTTCAAATCACTTTCTTTTTGTGTTCTGAATTGTCGCCCCTCCACCCTCTTTCCAAGCTGATTTATTTTCCTGCCTCTTCACAAATAAAATGGATTTGTATAGGCTCAATTGCTCTTTAAAGGGAAAAATTATATAGCGATATCTAATAACTCTTTGGATTTCGTTCTCGCTACTACCACTTGCTATTGGAAATGACTTTCCTGGTGAAATAATACAAAATTACTTCCACTCAACTCTCCTTCAGCTGAAAGGGGAGAGTCCTCATGCTAATGTGTTGTTGTTATTGTTTCTAAAATGATGGCAAAAATGGATAAGTGATTTTTTTTCTGTGGAATGGAAAGAAAAAGATGGTTGGGTCTAAAAAAAAGAAATGTAGAAAAAATATTCAAAAGACTTTTGAGTCAAAATATTGTATTGCAGCTTCATTGAAACGGTGTTGTTGTCATGTCTTGGTTGTGTGTGTCTTTGTTTTTGTTTCTCCCCTCATAGGAAGAGGTTTAAACAAAAATGCAAACTTTTCAAACTCCAGTGGCCGCAATGGGATGCAGCGCTGCCATATATTCCACTTTTCCTAATCTGTGCTTTATTTAGATTTCTTATAATGCTTGAGAAATTTCAGCCATAGGAAGAGAATAATAATACTTATGCATTTTATTTTCACATTATGATTACAGAGCAGCAGCAGCAAATGTAAGAATTCTCTGGTAACAAAATAACTGACACAGTTCATTCATCATCGTGTTTAGTTGAAAATAAAGTTTACTGTTGTTCATTGCCGATCAAGTGTGCATAAAATTAGAACTTTTGAGTTAAGGATTTTCCCCTTTAACTGTTATTAAATACATTTTCTCCCCCACCTAAATATTTAGATTTTTGATGTTGAATATATCCAGAGCTTTAAATTGTTTAAGCCTCTTCTGTCTTCCAGTGTCTACTTTTTTCTTTCTTTTTGCTTTTGTTTATGGTAGCAAAACTGACTACATCTGCTGCAACTGCTTTTAGGTCCTACATAATGTGGCGGTTTTTGATGTTATATGACTTAATAGTGTCATGCTCCATTAACCTGGACCTTTGGATGGATTCCCAGTTATAGGGCTCTATGCAACTTCAACTTTTCACTATAATTCTAAATTTTCCAGCATTCTCCCATTTATTACATGAAAGCTGAAAGCTAAACGCTATCTAGATTATCCTTTTTAGATTTGAGATTTATTCAAAGTAAAGATCAGTCAATGCCTATCCATCTATAGCACATCAAAATTGTAAAATTTAAAGGTGAACCAAAGCTTACCCTCTTATGTCACCTTACTTGAAATTGACACATCTCTCTAAATTATGCATCTTATAAAATAGTCACTGAATATATAACATATTCTTTTATCATATTGCGTGAGTTTGAATTGTAAGAGAGATGAACTGAACTTTAATAAGAGACTCAAACTAGATAATATTTTAACATAATGTGAAAACTGCAGCACCAGAATAGTACAAAACAACATTTTTGAGACAAGACAATATACAAACTCAGGTATATGAATTCTAGCCTAATTATTTCCAGTTGAGACAATTCTTCACTGAAAAACCTGGCACTAAATTTCTACCATACGGAAAAAAGAGCAAGGAGATCGGAAGTCTGTAAAAGAGATGTTGGATATACAGTATTGCATATACTGTATCAGACTAAAGTTGCTATAGAGCTCATACCTACATAAAAGGTACAATGTGAACTTAAGTTAAATGGCTGGGATTTATGTTTAGGAAAAAGAAATGGAAAAGCAAAAGCTCCTGTACCAGCAAGCAAGACTGCATGATCGAGGAGCTGCTGAAATGGTCCTTCAGACAATTAGTGCCAGTAAAGGTAAAGGCTTTAAAATTGTATATGTATATGCTATATCTGGTGAAGATTTTAATTTAACGTTCTGTTCCATCTTGCTCCATCAGAAAGGTCAACATCTGTTTTCTGTTCCCAAATATTCCTGGCCAGAAGTGTGTATGTGTACAAAGGCGTGGGAGGTCTTCTCTTGAGCCAGAAGGAGACATAGGTGTCAAAAATAGGGCCGACCTTCACTTACAGTAATAATATCAGCACTGGAGCTGAGAGAGAGGCAGCACATGAGGCTACTGCCAGCAGCCCATGCTGGTCCTCATAAGCTGTTTCTGGTGCCACTGATGGAATCAGAAGAGGGAACCATGGTGATGACTTCAAGGTGTAGGCAGGAGCCCTGCAGGTGGGTGGGTGGGTGGCATTGTCTCTGCTCTCAAGGCACATTTGCTGCTCCTTGCTCCACAATAGCTAGGAAGCTTACAGGAAAATCGCATGTGTTTCTGGCCTCCAGGCAGCCTCCAGATCTTCTCAGCTTAGAGCTTAGTTAGAGGCATTGAGTGAGGATTTAAGTTCTTCACTTAAAGTGACAGCTACAAGCATCCAACTCTCTTCCTTGAGATGACTGGCTCATGACTCTCTCCGACTGGGTGTAGATTTGGGGAATACAAGTAGGAGGGAGACCCCTGTCGTTCTGCTTCTCTGAGGTGTTTGAAGGCGAAATTAAAAGTGACATTAATTGCCTGGTTGTGGTTAATTTGTTAACTTAAAAGCAGCCACAGGAGAAAACCTGAGCAGCCTTAGGCAGGGCAGACTTTGGTCTTTCAAATTTCAGTGGCGCCCTGTGCGAGGCCAACATTCAGTGCTCTCCTGCCTCTCACCTTCTGTTCTGCTCAGTTCACTACATCATAGTTGTAGCGCCTGCAACACCAAATCTGCCTCTGCCACAGGACTATAACAACTAGGCAGCCAAAATTTAACCCCTTTTCTCCAAGGACAAAATAGTCCCAATACGGTCTCTCCAAAGCTGCCATTTGCATTTCATTGGTATTGGGGGTGGATTTCTTTCTCATGTGTTGGGGAAAGTACTAGGAAAGATTAAGAGCATAAGAAAAGCCTGCTGGATCAAGCCAATGGCCTATCTAGTCTAGCATCCTGTTCCCATAGTGGCCAACCACTATGGTGTCCAGTTTTCCAAAACTCAAAGCCTGTTTCTACAATCACCTCATGGGTGAATGTATATAACTGAATTATATTAACTAAAGTAAATAAAAAATTATCAGCCCATTAATTGAAAAAAGTATACATTTTCAACTGGCCATGCATAAGAGGGGCAGCTATGACAGCGCTGCTTTGGCATGTCCTTTAGATAGACAACTGCCCAGCCTTATCTCTGGTTTTTAAAAATATTTGTGTTGCATCAAACTTTTATGGTCTAATTGGTGTTTATTATTTCTCTTAATTTTAAACCATAATTTATATTATTCATGTTTTACTGTTTAAATTGTTTGTATGTTTATTAGCATACAAATTATTTAGAAGTTTTGTAAATAAATGTTTACTTTTCAGGTGAGATGGGTCCAATGGTTGCAGCCACCCTAAAACTTGGGATTGCCATCTTGAATGGAGGAAATTCTACTGTTCAGCAGGTAATTTAGCTGGTATCTCAATGTTAATTATTTCTTTCATTTCAGATACAAGTATTCTCGTATCTTATTTTGAATAGATGCACTTTTTGAAGACGGCTTAACATTTGTCACTAATCAAAAATAAGAAAATATTTTGGAGCTCTCAGATTTTGTAAAGACTGCTTGGCCAAGCAGTAAAAAGTTCTGTTTCTGCCTACCAGCCCTACAGAATCCAGGTGGCTAGTGACAAGAAAAAGAGCGTCATAACATATAAGGCCCTGAGTCAAGTAAGCGGGATAAGGACTGCAGCCTAAGCCCCCTCCCACTTCGCTCCAGTAAACTTGCCTCCACTCAACAAACTGGCATGAAGCCTGCAAGTTTTGAACTTTGAAAAGGCGCATATTGCATTATTTTGTTTCTGACTTTAGGGGAAAGGAGGGAGGGATTCAACTCAGTAGTAGGGGAGCAGGAGGAGGAGAGAAAGAGATTGATGCTGATCTGCAGCTGCCTTTGTGCCTGGCTGATTTACAGCTGGGGGCCCATCCCCTAGCCGCCTCCATTCTTCATACGACGCCACATCGTGCCACACTACTGTGGCCGTTTTACTGGCTAATTCTCACTTGCACACTCTTTGATTGATCTACCTTCATACTCCCTTGCCATTTCTCCTGCTGCTCAGCTCCCAGTGCTTGTCTAAACTCACAGCCTCACAGATTTCTGGGGTGATTTTTGTACCCCAGCGGGGGCCGCCTCTGCCCACCTGGAGATGCCAAAAGTTGCATTTGGGAGATTTTACATGCGAAGCATTTTCACTCTCACTGAAATATAGTCCTTTGCTTTCCACCCTAAATTTTCTCTTTTTAAATCATCCAGAAACTTTGTATCTTCTAAAAATGCTATTGGTTTTTATTTTTAAATTGCTGCTGCTCTGTTGTGTCTCTTCTGTGTTTTATATGGATCTGTGTACTTTAATGCTTTTACTATTTGCAAGCACTTCTGGAGATTATAGTGGTAGTAGTAGCAGTAGTACTACACACAACATTTTTTTCCTCTTTTTGGTTTGAAGAAAATGCTTGACTACCTCAAGGACAAAAAGGATGTAGGCTTCTTTCAGAGCCTTGCTGGTCTTATGCAGTCTTGTAGGTAAGAGAAAATGACTATATTATTTTACATTACTAAATATGCTATGTTATCGTTAGACATGAAGAAACCAAATTCAGTATCGAAATGCCTATCAGCCTGGCAAAAAAAGTGCCTACCTGTGGATGTTGTTTGTCCTAAGCAAGTTTCACAGCACATTTAATTTGTTCCTCTGAAATAATTAAGCCCTTAAAATTCTCTTGAAGCCAAGGCACATTTACTTTAAAAAAAATCTTTAAAGGCTATGCTTCTTTTGTGATAAACCAATGCTTTTGCCAGAAACACTTGATTCACATAAGTATATTTTACTTCACTACAACATAAGATAATGTAATCTGTGGTAAAACTGGAACTATGCATTGCTTTTTTTCATTTTAGTGTTCTTGACCTAAATGCTTTTGAACGCCAGAACAAAGCAGAGGGCCTTGGCATGGTAACAGAAGAAGGATCAGGTATTATCATCTTAATGAAAAATTATGTGTAACTTTTCCCGTTAAATCCACTGAAAAAAGTAAGTCATGTTGAAATGTATTCAGTGAAGGACCGCTGCAAACTAAAGCCACATTCTTTAGTTATTTAAATTATATATCCTCAAATTGTTTAGAGTGTAATTGAATTTTGACAGGAAACCACTTTCCTGAGGGATTTTATTTCTTTATTTCTTTTTCATTTTTACCACAGGTAACAATTAGATGTATAAATTCTAAAATTAATAACACCACAGAAAGGTGGCTTCTTCAGGAAATATTTTTGCTTGGAAATGTTTTGAAATCCTTTTCTTCAGTTTTTTTTCATTAAAAAATACAAGTATCAGAACTTTTGCTTTTGAACCAGTTTGCCTCTTCTATCCCTATCATCAACTCATTCTTAATTTTCCTTTGTTGTCTCTTTGTACTATTTTATTGTTATTGTTTCTGTCCAGGATCACTGAATTATTTTCTATATGTTTAGTTGTTCTACCAATCCTTTCTCTGTATTACCAGTGTATTTCTTCCATAACCTACTTCAGCTAATACTTCTCATATTTTTATTCATTAAAATAAAGGGGAAAAACTTGAATGTTTATTTACCGTTGCATTTTGTAATTTCTTTACTCATATTTTTATGCTGCATGTATCAGTAGTTATTTTGCCTCCAGCTGTTATAACTTGTATATCCTTTATTATTCAAATGTTTTCATCAAGCTAAAAGCCATGCACATTAACTTGACTGAAAACCATTAAAGCACATTAGGATTCCTTCTTTTAAGTTCTGTTCTTTTCTCAAATAGGCTCCACTTTTTTATTGTGGTATGAAAATAGACATTTATTTTTCACTCATTTGAGTAAAGTCAGCTCATATGAGTAAAGATAGTCAGATTGCGTACAGATTTGCTTGATCCATTGTTATGCTTCAGAATTCTTTGGACACTGAAGGCATAATTTAATTTTTTTATAATTATTCACAGTAACTCCTGGATTTTCATTTTAATAAGTTCATTTTTCTTTTAAAACTCTACATCTGTTACTTAAACTGTAAAGGCATGCATTTATACATAACTAACATGAATGAATGGTTATCTAATGTCAGGATATATTTATGCCTCCTCGTTTGAAGGATTTTTTCCCCCCGATTTGATGTTTTTGATTCATTGAGAATTGCTAAAAGCAATGCTACGTATATTTTTAATCTGCTGAAACAAATTCTCATGTTTTTCTTTTTTCGTTTTCTTTTTTTAAAAATAAATGTCCTGTCTTTCCCTTCCTCAGTCATCACTCATGAACGTGGTAATTATTGCACACAAATTGCCTTTCTTTTTCCTGTTGTTAGCTTTGTGTCAGCACTGTACAGCTCCTGAACATCATGTAGTTTGTTTTTGTTCTCGGAATTTAAAAGAGTGGGCTCTTTTTATTATTATTATGGTTGTATTCTCCAAACTTTACGTTTGTATGCCAACTTTCCCCACATCTTTGTTTTTCCTCCCTTTCTCAGGATTTGCACAGTAACTGGCACACTAGATGTAAGAGCAGCAAGCTTTTTTGGTTTTTCTTTTTCTTTTCCTGCTTCATTTGGTGGTGCTTATTTTCTTAGTGGGCCAAGTATTTGTGATGGTTGGATGTAAACAAAATGTGTGCATATGATATTAAAACCCACCATGTGCTGTAGTCTTCCTGTAGCATTTTTGTTGTGTATTTAATGTGGCTTTATGGCTGCATTGGTCTGTGCAATCATAGGAAATCAGTGGAGGATCCAGAGTTGGGTTTGGAGGTGGGATAGGAAGGGGTGATGATATCTGATGAGGTCCCTCTCAGTGCAGACACACTGAAATCCATGAATTAAGTCATGACTCACTTAAGTCCATCCATTTCAGGGAGTCTGCTCTGAGTGTGACTTAGTCAGATATGGCCTGGGACGTTTAGTGACAGAAGATACATTTAGAGTGTAAAAGTAAACATCATTAATGCACGCTAACCAAAATCATTACTGTGCTGATAAGGCTTCGCTTACAGTGTTGTAGATGCTAATGTTCCTCACTGAGTCATGAACTCTAGTGGACAGGGCAAAGCTCAAAACCATTTATTCAGTAGAGATATTAAATTCTAAGGGTGAGTTTGCTGAAATCAGTTTTGACAGGGAAAGAGGTAATATTCCCTCCATTCCTCTTCCATAGTTAACTTCTTATAAATGCACCCCTATGTGTTGAAATCACAATTGAACAAACTTCAAATGCAGTATTTGGGCATGGTGATTAAGACCACTGAAAAACGATTATTTCCATGGAAAAGTTATCAAGCACAGTCCTATGTATATCTATGCAAAAGTAAGTCCCATTGAGTTCAGTGTGTATAAGGCAAGTATGTATAAGACTGCAGCGTTAAATAGTTCCTTTAATCTCTTCCACTGAAACTTCACATACAAATTGCTTAATTTCCTTTAATCTCTTCCTTTGAAACTAAGAAATTCAGAATGCTCAATTTTTAATTGAAAGTGCCTTTTTAAAAAGTCATTTGTTAATCACCAGTTATAATTATATAAAATCTCCCTAAAATATGAATGATTCTAAGAGACAAAGACTCCAACAACTTATTTATTCAAAAAAGTAGCCACATACATGATGAAAACCCTTTTCTGATGGAATACTATAATTTTTAAATATTTTGCCCTGAACTATACAGAGTCCATGAATGGACTTCCTCATTCAGTTGGGTAGAGGATATGGGACACGAATGCAGGACTGAAGCATATGGGAAGTTCACACACACAGGGATCCATTTATGTTCGTGATGGGGGACTTTCCAACCCTGCAGTGCACTATAGGTAGACATTATTGATCTCTAAGCAACAAAATGGGAACCTGAAAGCAGAAATTATATAGACACAATTCCTCTAGCAGTCATCTGTATGAACACTGTTGAAAATTTATGGGCTCCAGTGGTATTGGTATAATTGTCAGACAGAACAATGTAGACTACACAACCAGGTATACAACAAGCTACAAAAAGCTGTTTCTTAAAATGGATACTGAAATTACGGAGATCTAATATACTATTTTTCAAAGAACACATTTTTCAAAGTTGAGGGATGTGTTAATTCTTTTGAGTAATGTTATATGTATATAATAATATCCTCTTGGTTTATCAAAGTTTTTATATCTCACTTGTTTAAGTTATGAGCTTTTATTGCAGGTATTTGTTAATACAATTATTTCAGAGAGATCTTTTAACTGGTGGTGTCTCTTTCCACTAACTGTCTCTTTCCACTAGAGAGAAAAAAGAAAATAGCATAGTAAATAAATATGCCAGTTGTTTCCTGTGTACTGCCCCTTCCTCTACAATATATTTCTCCTGATCCCCTCTCACTATGACCAACTTCATGCTTCATGTTCTTAATACTGGACCCCCCACTGGTAAAAACATTGGTGGTTCTCTACCAGATATGTATCTAATTTGTCTTTGTGATGTAATCAATGTTGCGTTTTCTTTATGTGTTACGTTTTAATTGCTGTGGTTATTATTGGGAAAAGGTTCAAAACCAAAGGCATACATTATTGTACATTAAATTACACTACATTTTCATCTTACTCCTTATAATCCGTACAATTTTCACATAAATCATAAGCTTGAAAGTGCATTATTTCCTCTCCTTTGAACATTTTAGGATAGTTAACACATAATGTTAACCTGATGTCCAAGATACTTGGGTAATGTTTGAGATGTAAGGTTTTTACTTTCTTACTGATTTTTGGTTTTCTCTTGGTATGAGATCTTAATTTTATGACCCAGACATTGTAGGGGAAGTTTTAAGTATTGTTACATGTATAGTAGAAATATATTTTCTAGTCTGATCATAAGCATGATACCAGACATCACAGCCACTGAGGTTAGTGGGATTTACAAGCGTTGTGTTGCAGCCTAAATACGCACCGGGGCAGAGGGACAGCTGCTTTACGCTATTGCGTTGCCTCCCAGTTTTAGCCCTGTCCCTTTTCTTCCAAGAACTGCTGGGTTCCAGAGCATCACTGATGGCTTCTTGAACGAATCCCATTACAAAACGTTTTCGGTCAACACATGTTCTCCTCTTCCTGAATAGCAACAGTGGATTTAGTGCATGCTGTAGCAAGGAAAAGAACATGTACTGTTGTTCAAGAGAACCTGATCTATTTTGTTTGTTTATAATGCTTACTATTAAATTGGTCAACAAAGTGACTTAGTAGCCAGTATCAAAACAATGCAGCTTTCTTCTAGAAAATACAAATGCACAACTTGGGCTGCCTAGGGACTGTTTCATAGGTACGTTATTGTGAGATAAACCCAGTGTACAGTTGCCACAGGAACGGTTTCATCTATAAACATATGACAAGGGCCAGATTTGGAATCTTGGAATGAAAAGAAATAAACTTGCCTTGCTGGATTGTTACTTTCTCATGTTGCTGGTGAAGCTGATCATTGTGGGATGTAGCACCAACTTGTAGTTGAAGGCAGGAAAGTAAAGTAGGCAGCTCCCAAGAGTCCAGTTCACTTTTCTGCCTTCCTCAAAATGGTCATGTTTGTTCTGTGGCCCAAAACTTTCTCCCCAAGGCATTTGTTCCCAGGGGGTTGTTTTTAACCTTTCTACGTGCCTATTCCATTTCTGTGACTCGGCTACCACTGTCCAGGCTTTGTTCCTTCCCTTTTACTGTCCACGTCAGCCCACCCCCCCCATGTTCTTGTCTTCTCAAGTTTTAATCCTCTCCTGACCCTGCTCTTTATCTTCCTTGTGTGTGCCTTAGAAACATATGCACACACATACGCAAAATATGTATCAGCTTGTGTTTTGAACCACACCCTTCATTCCTCCATGACTTTGCTCTTATCCTTCCTTCTCCATCTTGCCCTGTGTCATCTTGCTTCTTTGTCAGAAGGAGCAGAGTGTGTGGGGACATCAATTTTCCCAGCCAAAAGAGCCATTTGTCTTCCTTAGGAGGACATGAGTCCTGGTCGAGTACACCCTCATGTGTTGAACCACAGGTTTGGCTCTTACCCTTCATGCTCCTCCTAGACATGGCTGCCATCAAACCAGTCCCTTGAGGTGAGTGTCTCTTCAGCATCTACTCCATATTCTTTGTGGTGTTGAAGAGGGACTCAAATTCTTGGACAGTTGTACTTGATCTGAAACTCCCAAATCAATTCAGAATGGAAGCTATCATCTGTACAGGTAGCCCTGCACCCTGATGACATTTTACTTCAAGAGATCTCAAAGAAGCCTACCTCCATCTCTTGCTCCATCCTAGTAATTAGAAATTGCTTTGTTTGCCTTCGGCCAGCACCACTTCCACTTTCAGGCCCTGAAGCCACAACAGACACTGTAATTCTCCCAAAGGCATACTCTTCCATTGTCTCCTGACACAGAGAGATGCCGCTGCTGCCACCACCACCACCAACAAGAGCACTTGGGCATCACCCTTGTTCCTTCACTGGGCTCAATGAAATTTATTTGTATGCTTTGAATGAAGTGGCATTAGGTAGGAGAGTCCCGCAACAGGTAACCTGCAGCCATATATCTTACCTGAATTTGGTAGAAGAAGAAGAGTTTGGATTTGATATCCCACCTTTCACTCCCTTTAAGGAGTCTCAAAGCGGCTAACATTCTCCTTTCCCTTCCTCCCCCACAACAAACACTCTGTGAGGTGAGTGGGGCTGAGAGACTTCAAAGAAGTGTGACTGGCCCAAGGTCACCCAGCAGCTGCATGTGGAGGAGCGGAGACGCGAACCCAGTTCCCCAGATTATGAGACTACCGCTCTTAACCACTACACCACACTGGCTCTCACATTGATGAAATTCATCACCAGCACAAGAAAGGACTGTTAGTTCCTACCTGAATTGTAGTTCTGTGTTGCTGATAGAAGCTCATCAAGACCTCCCTAGTTTCTTGGCTGCTTCCAGTTAGTTCAATTAGTTCCTCTATTCTTTTCCTTTATAATGGCAGTTTTACCACAAATTCACTTTTTTCTCCTCTTATAATGTGAAATATGTATGCTTACATGTAACAGATTTAAATAAGCCTTCCCCAACCTGGTGGTCCCTGAATGCTTTAGGCTACAACCTCCATCTGCCACAGGTAGGAGGAGTGATGGAAGTTATAGTCCAAAAAAGCTAATCATTAGTGACAAGGAGAGAACAAGACTATGGAGAGATCATTAGTAGTCTGGCATTCAGCACTTTCAAGGGAGTACATACACCACTTTTTATTTCTTCCAGACATTACTTTTGTTTAAATACATCTCTATTTCAGATATTCCATGGCAGTAACATGAAGTCATCTATATGTGTAACAATATCATTTAAATGCAGCATGGGCAATGGCAGTATTTTAGCTAAATAGTTAATGTACAATGAGACTTTAGAACTATCTGAATGTTTAACACAAGCTGTACAAAATTGTTTTTAAAGGCTTCTGGCCGAGACTGCCAGTTTTCTTTTATATAAGCACAACATATTCCTTTATTGTAGTTTATTCTGCTGTGTCAAAACTTGGATAGAGATATGAGCAGTCCTTCAAAAAAGGCTTGTACCCATTCTCTCCATTCATTCATTAAGATCAGACTCCCTACAATTTTTATTCCATGGCTCAATGTCACCTTTTAAAATAAATTTCCTTTGAGATACCTGTTGAAGAACTCATCACATATTGCTCTTGAACAAGTCTGATGGAGACCCTGTTTGTGAATCATTTACATAGATTTCTGATAAATTGAAACTTCATATATTTGTAGATTTAGGTAGGTAGCCGTGTTGGTCTGACGCAGTAAAAAAAAAAAATGTCCAGTAGCACATTAGAGACCAACTAAGTTTGTTCTGGGTATAAGAAGTGTGCATGCACATGAAAGCTTAAGCCCAAACTTAGTTGATCTCTAAGGTGCTACTGGATAATTTTTTAAATTTATTTCATATATTTATGGCAGGCGTGGGGAACCTCTAATCTGCAGGCTCATCTTGGCCTGCCATGGGGTCCAATTTGGTCTACAAGGCCATTTCCCCCCAAACATGCCCATCGTACATCAGTCCACTGGTGATGTCAGCTGATGGATGGGAGGGCAGGGTTTAATGCTGCCTTGGTGGTTGTTCCATCATGTTTTGATGGTTCTATTCCTACCTGGAGAGCTGATTCCAGAAAGTGGTGCTAGGAGACTTATGCTTATCCCCATGGCATTTGTGCTGTGGTATACTGCAGGATTCAATCTTGTGCTTTTCAACATCTGCATGGAACCACTGATTGATGTCATGAGTTTCAGTCAGTTGGCAACAAAATACAAGTGATACTCAATTCTCTTTCCTTTACATCAGAATCAGGTGAGATGTTGGAAGTGCTGAATCACTGTCTGGATGAAGGAGATGGACTGGGTGAAAGCTAACAAACTGAAACTCACTTCCAACAAGCCAGAGATTCTATTGGTGTGTGGTTCAGTCTGTTCTGGAAGGGTTCTCACTCCAGTTTAAATGATCAGGTTGGCAGTCTGAGGAGCACTCATTGATCCAGCTTTGTTGCTAGAGGTCCAAGTGGCCTCAGTAGCATGAACTGCCTTTCAGCCCCTAAAGCTTGTGTGCCATTTGTGATCTCTCCTTGATAGCATGAATGACTATAGTTACCCAAGCTTTGTAAACTTTGGGTTAGGCTACAGAAATGCATTGTATGTCGGGCTGCCTTTGAAAACCGTCCAGAGACCAGGCAGTCCAAAACACAGCTGTCAGTGTTTCTGAGCACGATTTGAAGTATTGATACACAAAAACCTTCTGGGTGGTTTCACTATCTGAAGTTAGGTGGACAGCTATAGGGAAGGACTTTCCAGCACCTTGCATGCAGAACTCTGGCATGTAATGTCCTTTGGGTGCTAAGCAAAGACCTTTTTATTTTTATTTTACTTCCCCAAGCTTTTAAACTCTGGTTAATTTTGATGCATCCTGTGATTGTTCTATGTACTGCCTTTCTGTGTTTATTTTCTTTTACTGTAAATTGCCCTGGAAATCTTAAATTGAAGGCAGTATAGAAATGTTTCAAACTGAACGAATGGAGGAATAATTCTGCAGGAGCCTCATTGGGTCAGTAATTGGTAGCCCTATTCCAGAAGCTCATTTGAGTCACACTTAAAAAACCAAGATTATATTTCAACTATTATGCAAAGTTCAGAAATTTCTAAAATGTTGCCAAGCCCATGCTACCATTTTTTTTGAGAGAAATGTATTTCTAAATTATACATATTTTTCTTATGATAAATAAATACACCTTTCCTGCAAGTGAGTATGACATATATTTGATTTTGAAAACGTGCTTTAAGTCTAGATTCACTTATAATCTATGCGGGTTTTTTATATCAATCAGATGAATATGTGAAGCTTCAGAGTTACTTTGCAACTTTTCATAATATTTACTGGCAACTGGCTTTTCCACAGGAGAAAAGGTGATGCAAGATGATGAATTTACTTGTGACCTCTTCCGGTTCCTCCAGTTGCTTTGCGAGGGGCACAACTCAGGTTGGTTTAAATAATGCTATTAACTAATCCAGTGTTGGAGTAACCAGCTATAAGTACTCACTGTAAAAGGCTTAACACCTTAATGAATTTTTCCAAATAGTGCTCCAAATAAGCAAACACAGCATGAAGGAAGAATAGTTATGTAAATTGATAGTGCCAATTTTCTTAAACAGTTGAGCTGTGAAAACAAATTAAATGACATCTCTAGAAGCATGTTATACAGGAAAAATAAGTGGAGCAACATTGCTTATTTTGTTGATTCTTTCATTCCCCTAATTGTAAATGTGCATAACACAAGTCTTTTTTTACCAGGTAGACAATCTCCCTAATAGCTATGTAGTACTACTTAGTGCACAGTACTACTACAGTAATCAAGAGATGTTCTTCTCCAATGTAAGTGGACAGAAAGTAGAAAACTAAATTTGATCCTCCCTGTAATTCAATTCAGTTCTCCTACAATATCAAAAAAGTCTTCTATCTCAAGAATAACTATAGTGCATAATCTAGAAAATTAAGCATAATTAAAATGTGTGAAAAAGAAAAATACAGATTATCAGCAGGAAATATGCTTTAGAAAACATGCATTCTATACTCTGAGAGGAGATTTTAAAGGGATTTAAGACAGGGGCTAAAGTTAATTCAATCTTGTTCTATCTTTCCAAGATTTTCAGAATTACTTGAGGACTCAGACTGGTAACAATACAACTGTCAATATTATAATATCTACTGTGGATTATTTACTGAGAGTTCAGGTAAAATATAATGCATGTGAACTCTAGTTTGTTGAAAAGAAGTGCATCAAAATGCAAAATTGTGTAACATCAAGTGTTTATATTGCCACTTTTTTTTAGTTATTTAAAAGTATTTATAAACCTTTTAATGTATTTTAAAAAACAAACAAACCAGAACCTTATAAGAGAACTTGGAGGAAAGAAATAAAAGCCTCTCCAATCTTTCTGCTTCCAAGAGAGTATGAAAAAATAAATTCCAATGGGTGGGTGGGGGGTCAATATTCCTGTGCTACACTGCTTACCAGCCAACAAGCATGAAATAATTTTGTACTAGCTTTTCGTGATCCATAAGTGTGGGCCCTGTACTATTGTTTTTATGTGATTTTTTAAAGCTCTGCTTTATTATATTGCTTTAGTGTTTTTATGTTTTGTACTGTTTCACAACTCTAATATTGAGTACTGTAGTTTATAAATGCTTTTAAATAAAAATAAATCTGGAGAGGGAAAGACATGTACCTACAGAGTTAAATAATACCTTGGTTTTTGTTTGCTTTTAAAATGGTTATAAACAGTCAAACGTCTAAGAACATGATCTTGCTTAATTGCCTTATGCAACTATCCTTCTATAGTTTCCACACCCTCAAAATAGCATGATGGCAAATTTGGTGCATCAAAATCGAGATCCCCCAATTCTCTGCCAATGCCAGCTATTTGCCCTGCCCCCATCCATGATCTCTTGCATCTTCCCAAACGATGCTGCAAAACGATGAGGCTGCAAAAAGCAGCAAAGGACTCAAGCCCCAGAAAAAAGCTAATGCAAACTAGCAGCTTACTCTGTCCTCTCATGATTTTTAGTTGCAATGAAGTTTCCATTGTCTAGAAGAATTCTGGGGACTGGAACTTAAAATGACATTAGTCAGTTTCATCGTTCTGGAGACTTTCTGAACACTTTGCTTTTTTTAATTTGTCAAATGCAATTTTACTGATGTTATCACTAACGATGATGATTTATTTATTTATTCAGTTAGTTGTCTAATACAAAATAGTCTCTAGTTTCTGAGTTGTGAATTCATGCACTTTGTATATTTCTTCATCCACTTTCAGGAATCAATTAGTGATTTCTATTGGTATTACTCTGGAAAGGATGTTATTGATGAACAAGGACAACGTAATTTCTCTAAAGCAATTCAAGTTGCAAAGCAGGTTTTCAATACTCTTACAGAATATATTCAGGTAACGTTTGAAACAACCCACAAACAAGGTATAAAGTGTCTGCATGTATGGTGGGTGGTAAGAAAGAACATTTGGAGCAATAACTTTTGGCTGCACAATATAACTTCCACTCCCTCTCCTCTCCCACTAGATATATTTGGAGTGGGTGTGTCTCCCAACCCTCTAGAACAAATTTGGGGAGGGTGCAGAGAAAGCAGAGGAGAGGTTCTGTAGTAGAAGAAGAAATCCTGAAGTGGAAGCATTTCATTGGATATTGCCCAGTAACTCTGTTCATATTCTTGTCCAAGTGATGCTTCCCTACACTTAATCCAGTCTCCATCCATTGAAATGGGTGGACAATTTTGTGTATACAAATTAATGTGTATGTGAAGCTGAAAGGAAAAGCCATTTTTCACAGGGACCCCATGGGCTAAGCATGTCAGTTTGTTCTCAAAGATGTTTCATTTGTGTAACATTTTCATTAGCCATTCCCACTGTCCTGACAGTAATCAGCCAGAGGCAGCTTATGTTATATTTCCCTTTTAACTTCAGTTTTGTTGTTTGTTAAAACCTCTTTTTCAGGGACCATGTACGGGTAACCAGCAGAGTCTGGCGCATAGCAGACTGTGGGATGCTGTTGTTGGTTTTCTTCATGTATTTGCCCATATGCAGATGAAGCTTTCTCAGGTACAATATCTATATATATATATATATTTTAAAAAATGAATTTATTTTAACTTTATTAAAGAAGACAGTCACAGCTTGTAGTATCAAGGAGTACCCGAAGCTACATACTTGGTCTCTCAGGGAGAGTGCTAGCCTGTCGAAAACAGGCTAACATCCCAATTCCTGAAACCAATTATCATTGGCCAATAGGACCCTTGTCTTACCAATATTTATCCTCCGTTGATTGGTCTTCATTCACCTTCATAAACACGGATCCATGTAGAGTAGCTGGGGTGGGTATCATTCCCCTTTTTGTTCATCCAGTGAGTAATCTTTTTTTTTTTTAATTTAATTTTTATTAGTTTCAAATTCATAATGCAACACCAAACATTAAAGCAACAAAAAAGACAAACAAAACACAAGAAAACAACAAAAAAGAAGAAAAACATTACAAAACATAAAACACCAACAAGTTAAACTTACAATAACTAAATAACTAAATCACGCAACAATAGTTGACTTCTCAACTTGGTTTTGGAATATGTTACAAAGGTTTCCTATCTGCAGTTTCGCTTTCGTAAAACTCTTAGCGTCGCACAGCGTTATATCGAGCCTACTGTGATTTTAGATTTTTACATCTGTTTCAATATATGTCATAAATTTATTCCATTCATTATTAAACTTTGTACCTTTTTGGTTTCTTATTTTCTGTGTCATTTTTGCCAATTCTATATAGTCAAATAATTTTGATTGCCACTCATTTATAGTTGGGATTTTTGATGTCTTCCAGTTTTGTGCTATTAGTGTTCCAATGATTAATCCAATGATTAATCTGATGACCAGGGAGTAGGAAATTTCATCTTCATCAGAATGCCCATCCCAGCTGTGTATGCCCTCAACGTTTGTTGTCACCAAAATCAGTGTGATCTTGGCAGCAAGAAAAATTCCTTGGGCAGTCACCTCAGCCCTCTCTTAAGTGGGAGTTAACCACCTCTGGTGTAAACATTTTTCACTCACACAAGTGTGCCCTGCTGCAGACATGAAACTGCACTTAACCAGAAATTTGGAGGGGGTCTCACATGTCGTCTTATCCCCACCCTCCTTTTTTACACTTTGAATTCCTTTTGTTTCCCCTTCAGCTTTAAACATAGTTCCATGTTACATCTGCACCAATAAAACCATGTTTAACCAGATCCATTCATATCAGGGTTTGGCTAACCTGCTTTCAAATCCTGAGTGATATTGAAATGATTGATTTTCATTCTGAAAAATGTTAATTATTTTAAGCCACATTTCAAAGCTATTGTTTATTCATAGATAGTTTGCAATTAGTTCAAATCAACCAATTATTGTTGGGAAAACTGACTTTCTTTTTTAAAGATCTGATCCAAAGAGTCACATGCTGTGTTCTACCTTCTGGCCCCTTCTTTTCCATTCCATCATCACCCAAAAGCTACTCTTGAATGTTCAAAGTGACACAGGGACCTGTAGCTGTTACAGTATTATCAGAAATCAGTGAGCCCCCAATTCTAAGCCAGAGACATAGTTTTCTAAATATGATCATAGTTGCTGGGCTAAAAGAACACTGCCATGAATCTTGTATTTTATGTTGACAGGATTCTAGCCAAATTGAATTACTGAAAGAATTAATGGATCTTCAGAAGGATATGGTGGTCATGTTGTTATCTATGTTAGAAGGTAATTTCATTTTAAAACTGTTTTTTTTTCTTTAAAAAAACACAAGCAAGCCCCAAACCAAACCTTTATTGACTTTTTTCAAATTGCAAAGAGGTAAGAAAAATTGGTGCCAATGGGGGATTTCTTCCTAATACAAATAGCTTCATATGTTCTATTTCTGTCACAGCTACATCAAGGGAGGAAACTATTTAAACTCCCCCTTCCTGTCTGCTATGATCTCTGTAATTATCAGCCGCCACGACCATCCCATAGCTGTTCTTTGCATTTTTAGAAATGTTCTGGTGAAGTACAAAGACACATTTAACATCACCTCTAGTTTGGCTCAGCGAGCATGGAACCTTCTAATGTACTGTAGTCTCCAACAAAATCACAATGTAAAATGTTCAGTTTTACTGTTATTGTGTAAAGGTTGTAGAGAAAACAGTATTAACTAACATAACTTGCTTTTTTTAATTTCTATGAGTTTCAGTTTTGTAAACAGTCTTCATAAAAGCCTCAAAACAGAATTTATACAACTTTAAATGGATCACTTTTTACCCAAAAACACAAATTATTCAAAGTTTGACTTCTGTTTCTTTTTGTTCATAAGTCCTTTTCTACTTTTTCTCTGTATCTTGTTGCCTTCTGCTAGCTGAATTTTTTTCAGAATGTTTTTGTTTTATAGCCAGCCAATGTGCATGTTATTGGATTAGTGATTTCCCATGAACACAAGTTGCAATGCGTATGAAAAATAAATTGCTTTTACCCACAAGTTTTATTTGGTTCCATTCTATAAGGCGGCAGTGGGGAACCTTTTTGGCCCAGCAGACCAGATCCTTATCTGTTTCCAGTCTTACAAGCCAACTTTGACAGAGGGATGTGGCCACCCCCTTGTCAATCACCTTGGCATCATTATGCCAGATGACGGAGAGGTGGGTTGTCGTGGCCACCTGTCAAAATCTCTTCCACAGCAAAATGCCCCAACAACCAGTTGTGGTTACCAGATACTTGGTAGCCACAGTGCAAGAGGCTTTGCCAGTCCTTTGCTTGCCAGTGCTGAGCATATGGCTGACACTGCTACTTTCTGCAGGCAGTGGTTGTGTGATTGGGTTCCCCGCAGGAAATTTGGTCACACAACCCATGCAGCAGCCTTGAGCTCACTACCCCAGGGCCAATGGATGGCAGTGTCAGCTGAGCAATCTAATTTCCCACAGGAAACTCAGTTGGGCAGCCAATTCAGCTGGTCTCTACCTGCCACACACCTGATGTCACATATGACAGCAGATGGGCGTGGGTAGGGGAAAACAGCTTGTAAGCCAAATTGGGATCCATGCTGGGCCAAATTGGGCCTGTGGGTTAGAGGTTCCTCACCCCTGCTTTAAAGCAAGGCAACAGCCATATTCACTATTGACCCACATGTAATCCTATCTGTAAATGAACACTGGATATATTTCAGTAAACAGGAAATCTGGGTAAATGCTAAAGAAGTAAAGACCTAAATCAACACAGAGTTAAGCATCCTTAAGCCAATTGATTTCAGTGGGCTTAAGCAAGCTTAACCCTTTGTTGTATTCCGGCCATGATGTTTTAGCAATCTTTTAAGGCTTGTATAACAAAAAGTCTGGAATCTTATAAGTCTGATTATTTTTCTCCTAACGTAAATGTTGCTCACCCCCTGTATTACTATCAGTAGTTCAAAATGCTCATCTCTGAAATTCTATCTAGTAATTTTATTGATGTCTGGAACAGTTTACAAAGCATTATATATCTCGGGTTGTTAACTGAGTAAATATTTTAACAAGAATTTCAATGCACTTTTCCACATTCAGGTAATGTTGTGAATGGTACAATCGGCAAGCAGATGGTTGACATGCTAGTGGAATCCTCCAACAATGTAGAAATGATTTTAAAGTTTTTTGATATGTTCCTAAAACTGAAGGATTTAACTTTCTCTGATGCATTCAAAGAATATGATCCTGACGGAAAGGGTATCATTTCAAAAAGAGATTTCCACAAAGCCATGGAGAGCCACAAACACTACACTCAATCTGAAACCGAGTTTTTGCTCTCATGTGCTGAAACAGATGAGAATGAGACTCTGGACTATGAGGAATTTGTGAAGCGGTTTCATGAGCCAGCCAAAGACATTGGCTTCAATGTTGCTGTCCTCCTGACAAACTTGTCAGAGCACATGCCTCATGACACTCGGTTGCAGACTTTTCTTGAATTGGCAGATAGTGTTTTGAACTATTTCCAGCCCTTCTTAGGGCGCATAGAGATAATGGGTAGCGCAAAGCGCATTGAACGAGTTTACTTTGAGATAAGTGAATCAAGTCGGACACAGTGGGAAAAACCTCAAGTTAAAGAATCAAAGAGACAGTTTATATTTGATGTAGTAAATGAAGGAGGGGAAAAGGAAAAAATGGAGCTTTTTGTTAATTTTTGTGAGGATACCATATTTGAAATGCAATTGGCAGCTCAGATCTCTGAGTCGGATTTGAATGAGAGGTCTGCAAATAAAGAAGAAAATGAGAACGAGAAACCTGAGGAACAGGATCCCAGAATGGGCTTCTTCTCTCTAGTAACTGTTAAATCAGCTTTAGTAGCTCTCAGGTATAACATAATGACACTCATGAAAGTGCTAAGCATGAAAAGTATCAAGAAGCAGATGAAGAAGATGAAAAAGATGACCATGAAAGACATGGCGATGGCTTTTTTCTCCTCATATTGGAGCATTTTAATGGGCTTAATGCATTTCATATCAAGCGTCTTCCGAGGGTTCTTTCAAATCATGTACAGTTTGCTGCTTGGAGGAAGCCTAGTTGAAGGGGCTAAGAAAATCAAGGTGGCCGAACTCTTAGCCAACATGCCTGACCCTACTCAAGATGAGGTGCGTGGTGAAGGGGAAGAAGCGGAAAGAAAGCCAACAGAAGCTCCCCTGCCTGCAGAAGATCTGACCGATCTCAAAGCTTTGTCAGAAGACAGTGACCTCCTCTCGGACATATTTGGCTTGGATTTAAAAAGAGAGGGAGGACAATATAAACTAATCCCACATAATCCTAATGCAGGCCTAAGTGATTTGCTGAGCAGTCCTTCTTTACCCCCCTTACCTGATGTGCAAGAAAAAATACAGGTACACACTATAATTTGTATGTCTATACTGTTTAAATCTGATTTTAGACTTTTAAAAATTGTTTTTAGGAAATATAAATCAGCACATCATGCATGTTGATTCCATTTTTCAATGGATTAACAACTACAGAGTATTCTCTCTAGAGAGGCATGCCTGGCACCATCACTATTTATTTTTTGAACTTTAATTTTCCGTCATATCTTAGTTGGGTGGGTTGTGCTGAATCTGTGAACTGCCCTGTGATTCTGTGAACCGCCCTGAGACCTCCAGGTATAGGGCGATATATAAATTCAATAAATAAATAAATGATAAATACTCTTCTGTACATATCAGTGAACATTACAGGTCACTTATACTGTTGTTTCTAATGTTGGTTTGTGTAAGTTGCTTTTACCTTTTGTGAAAAATACAACTAACAACAACAACAATATTGAGCAAGCAAAGCTTTCATCTTTCTAAAGTGGCATTGTTAGAGTTCCTCATCTACTCTGTTTATAATTGGTTTGAGTTTTAAATAGAAAACAATATTTTCAAGTAAATAGGAGTGCCCTCATTTTCTACTCAACATGAACATTAGTATATTTTAAATGACATAGTCAAGGCTATGGTGCTGGGTTTTTTAAAACATGAGTTGAAAGTAGTGCATTGCCATAATTGTTTCCTCCTTATTTGTTGAAGGACCAGAAGGTGAACGAAGATGAAAAGGATGAGAAAGAAGAAACTAAATTTGTACCTGAAAAAGCAGAGTATGTGTCAATATTTCAAGCATTTATGAATCCACTTATGAATATTGTAGTCTTAAATGCACTTGGAAGCAAAACCCATTGAAATAAATGACAACTCAGTTGTATTTATGTCCTTATCTTCTAACAGCTCAGTTATATAGAGGAGTACAGTGATCACTTTAGCAGTCATTGTTAAAAGGGTTTTACATCCTGTGTGCTTCAATGTGAATTAATTATATTGTAATTGCTTTGTAAAGACCTTCCCCCTTTTAACCCACTTTTATTTTCTTCCCACTGTGTTAAATCCATTATAAGTGTGTTGTATCTTAAGGGCTTTTATAAGTCCTTATCCATTATACATTCCCTAAATGCCCTTTCCAGCTGTGATCATCTCACATACAGTAAGTACTTGAAAGAGGACCCAGTCTTCTTTAAAGTGCCCATGAAACATGTGATTGACACAGCTTGTTTCTTTTTCCAATGAGAGATTATATTTTAATTAATAATGTGTGACTCACAATAAGATTTATGCTTTTAGAGGAGAAGATGGAGAAAAGGAAGAGAAAGCAAAAGAAGATAAAGCAAAGCAGAAACAAAGGCAGCGTCACAAACATAGGCATGGTGAACCAGAATCACAGGAATCGGCCTTCTGGAAGAAAATTATTGCATACCAGCAGAAACTTCTTGTAAGTGGAATAAGTCATCTCTGAAGAGCAGGGAAAGCAATTTTCCTCTCAATTGCAGCACTGGAAGGAGAGGAACCTCTCCTCCAAGGCCACCTCTGTGATGTGGAGGAGCCTGCCCCCACCTCTGCTAATGGGCATAGATCAGCAGAGTGTTGGGATTTTATAATGCTCTGGGGTTTGCCAGAGGTCCCCTCCTTCTCCGAGCATCTCCCAGTAGGCACAACTCTGGAATGGCATGTCCCTTCATCTCCAGAGTGCCTCTCAGCGACATTTTCTTATGAAAAGTGCACACCATTCTTCTGGCAGAACACAGCAAGAAGAAGAAAGCATTTGTAGATCTAAACTACGTTTATTTACAGTCTATGTACAGACTAGGGACGCAGGTGGCGCTGTGGTTTGAATCCCCGCGACAGGGGTCAGCTCTCGTTGCTCGCTCCCTGCTCCTGCCAACCTAGCAGTTCGAAAGCACGTCAAAGTGCAAGTAGATAAATAGGTACCACTCCAGCAGGAAGGTAAACGGCATTTCTGTGCGCTGCTCTGGTTCGCCAGAAGCAGCTTAGTCATGCTGGCCACATGACCCGGAAGCTGTATACCGGCTCCCTCGGCCAATAAAGCGAGATGAGCGCCGCAACCCCAGAGTTGTCCGCGACTGGACCTGACAGTCAGGGGTCCCTTTACCTTTATGTACAGACAATGCATAATCACGTCTGTTCTCTCCCGCTCCGAGAGAACAACAGAAGTGAAAGTACATTCCAAAAGTACACGTACGGTGGAAGAAATAAGATGGTCTTCCTGTTCTCACACTCTACTCAGACAGCAGGAGAATTATATCAGTCACAAAATGCAGCCACAGTGGATTGGTTTACTAACCCAGAGAAGGGGGTGGTATGTGTGCTACCTGTGTGTCTGGGCCCACTCTGGCAATGACCACTTTTGTTCTGGCCACACCCATTACTAGCATGTGGTCCTCTGAGGGTTGATCAGCAGCCCTTAGGCCAAAAAAGATTAGCCACCCCTGCTTTATCTGATCATGGCTAAAAAATCCAAAACCTTGATTCACTTGGATTATGTGAATTCCTTAATGAACACCAAAAAAAGTATTTGCTGGTGAATGTAAATGTGTCATTGAAACTAATGCACACCTTAATTTTCACAATGTAATTTGGCCAAAAAAGGTGAGCATTAGGTTCGAGTAAATGTGGTAATTTATTTCAAGATCACATTCTGTAGGTTAACGGAACTGAATTATTCAAATGTAAGTATTTAGTGCATTTAACATTTATTATTTTGTCTTTCAGAACTATTTTGCTCGTAATTTCTACAATATGAGGATGTTGGCTTTGTTTGTTGCATTTGCCATTAATTTCATTCTGCTCTTCTATAAGGTAACTCCTTCATGTTTTCATCCACTGAAGTGTAAATGAAGTACCATATAAATGAAAATGTATACAGAAAGTACACATATACACAAAAAGTAAAAATGTATACAAAAAGTATACATATGCACAAAAAGTAAACACATATACTTTCTTGTTCTTTAGCCTTCTTGGGTGATCCCAGCAAATCTGAGCTGAAAACTGGCATTTTAGGAGCAAAAAAGGTTACATAGCTTATCACTGTATGACACACACAAACACAAATCTAGTTCAGTATTGTCTTTACTGACCATCAGTGATTCTTCCAGGTTTCAGAGAGGGTTTGCCCTTACCAAGGGATGTCAGAGATTGAACCTGGGCTTTCTGTACCCAAAGCATGTACTTTACCACTAAGCTATGGGTCATCCCCAAAAGAGCGCGTGATATTTGGTGGGAGGGCAGGGAAAGAACACACAGATCGGGATGGGTGCAGGGATGAGGTGGAGGGTGACTGGCTAAATACCCTCCAGCTGCAGAGTAGTTTCCACCTACAGCAACCCCTCCCAGCTTCCACACACGTTGTCCGGCAGCGAGACAAGTCATAGGGGAAACGGCAACAATAACAATAGCCGCTGCCTCTGGGGCTGATCGCTCAGGCCCCAACATCCTGTGGCTTGAGTGCTCCATTCTGCCTCTAGCCTTGACTAGAAGAAGAAGAAGAGTTTGGATTTGATATCCCGCTTTATCACTACCCGAAGGAGTATCAAAGTGGTTAACATTCTCCTTTTCCTTCCTCCCCCACAACAAACACTCTGTGAGGTGAGTGGGGCTGAGAGACTTCAAAGAAGTGTGACTGGCCCAAGGTCACCCAGCAGCTGCATGTGGAGGAGCGGGGATGCGAACCCGGTTCCCCAGATTATGAGTCCACCGCTCTTAGCCACTACACCACGCTGGCTCTCCACTAAAGCTCCTCACTCTTCCACAATGCTCTTGTTTTCTGAAACTGATTGCTCCTGCCTGCATATTCTTCCCTCTGCAGCTTCTGCTCCAGGAAAGGAGAATGCCCACTGGTCTCCACCTTCCCCTCCTCTGTATCTCTTTCCCCGCCCCCAGTCCTCCATTCCCAGGTGCTCGGAGTCGCCGCTTTGATGTTCGCTAGGCGCAAGACTCAATGCTGCCACACGTAAACAAAAAAACAACTCCAGGCATTTTGCCTACTTTTAAAAATCCCCCCAGACAGGATTTTTTATGCTGAAAAAGAGGACATATCTGGCAGAACCAGATGTATGGCAACCCTAATGTTGCTGCTGCTGTGTACACTCTCTCCTCTCTACATGGCTTAACATGAACACAATGGACCTAGAGTGAGACCCACAGGATTCTGGTAAATGAATAGTGATTCCTGCCTTCAGCCACAGGAGGGAGATCTAGTCCCACCTGAGCTGATGTTTACATGCACCTCGAAGTGCCCTTCATGGTATGACCAAATGTCTTTTCTGTTTTCAGCCGCTCCAGGAGGGCATTCAGTCCACCTCTTCCTTCCTGGAACTAGGGGTTATTAGGTTAATCCAGTTTATGCTCCACACATGTAGAGCAGGAAAGTAAGAACTTTAGGAATTTGTCCTCCTCCTCCTCCTCCTTTTCCGGCCTCTTTTATATTGATTGTTTGACTATTAACACTGCCGTGTTTATTGTTAATTCTTTTTTTTCACTACACCAACAGGCGTAAATTTTAAATGTCTTTCTGAATGAGCAGGTGGGTTACTGGATCTTCCAGTTGGGTCTGGGAGGTCAGTGGCTCTCTCCCTGGAGAAGCAACCAAGTGTTTGGTGCCTGAAGGCTTCAGGAGGAGGTGCCATCTCACGTGTCAGGAATGCCCTCCAGGAGACTCTGAGAACAGAAATTCACAGTCAGAGCATTTTCATTTTTTTCTACTCACTTCAGTTTATTTCAACAGGTCTCCACATCTGCAGTGGCTGAAGAAAAGGAGGTTCCTGTGGTTAATATTGCTGAAAACTCCAAGTTAAGCAGCCTAGAAAGTCCTTCCCATAGAATTATCACAGTGCACTATGTTCTCGAAGAAAGTAGCGGCTACATGGAACCCACACTCCGCATTTTAGCCATTCTTCACACAGTCATTTCCTTTTTCTGCATCATTGGATATTACTGTCTGAAAGTAAGAGGACAAGGAATTCATACATCTCCATTGAAGTAGTTACAAATAATGTCTTGTATCTTTAAATATTTGTTTTGGCTTGAGTGCAGGATGCTTTTTCAAACACACACACAGTTCCGTCAATTAAAATATCCAGGGCACTGTATAGGAAGTGAACTGGGAGCCAATGAAGTAATTGCTTTGAAGTAATGATAATAAGGATATTGTAAAACGTGCTACAAATATGAAATATTGTTAGATATAGCACATTGAAATCTTTCAGAAGTGGCAAGAGGAACAGTAGAAAACCTGCAATGCCTTGATATTCTATTTTATCAAAGTTTTAAGAGTCAAAGGTAGATTTCTCTGTTTAAAACAAAATCTTCAAAATAAGATGAAAAATTGTGTAGCATTTGCAGTGCTCCTGATAGTTTTTTCTTACTTTGCACAGATCTTGTATGAGACTTGTGTGTGCTATTCCCCAAGGGCATAGATGCAACAAAGATTTACGCGGCCATTTTTTAAAGTACTTTGAATGCATTTGAGATTCAAAATGCTTCAAAAATTTATACATCTAAATTCCAGAATGGCATCAGTCTCTTAGAAATCTACCATTCCTCTTTTTCGGCTCCAGGACTTTGTGGAGATCACTGCCCATATGCATCTTGCAGCAATTTGTATTACCTTTTAATTTTTGTTCCTCTCAACAAAACTGCCAAGAGGCCTGTGCAGAAACACACAGTGCTTCAAAAGTGATTGTTTATTTACATTGATAAAGGCAGAGGGGAAGCGGTCAGGAAGGGGGAAATTTTAAGGATGATTGGAAAATGTTTGTTGAATTTTTGAAAGATTACTGTAAACATCTTAAAACGTCAGCAGGATTAGAATTAATTTAGCATTAAAAATATAAAAAAAGGAAGAGTTGGATGAGCTAAAATAGGGAGTAATCAGAGTATGCAGCAATGAAGGAGAAGCGTAATGAACCATGGGGGGGGGGGAGGGAAATCAATGTTTAATGTATGGATTGTTTGATGTGCGATGATTTAGAAAATTAAAAATGATATTTTTTTTTTTCAAAAAAAAGATAAAGGCAGAGGAGGAAATAAAAGAACAAACCTAAGTCATAGCAAACTGTGCATGTACCAATTCCACAATTAATTTTAGAAAATTTTCCTGATAATTTTAGAAATTCTCCCAGGTATAAACTGGCAGTATGGAAGAGAGTATGGAATGCTAAAACAAATGAACTAATGGAGCAAGAGCTCCATTATCTTTACCTTGTTTGCATTTTCTTAATTGGGCAACCTCAAAGGTTTGTTGTCATGGCAACATAATATTTATGTTTTTGGTACGTAAATAGCACTTGCCTCAGTAAATTTTCCTTACTATTTAGGGTTTGTCCTGGGATCAATTCATTTTTCTTTTCTTTAAAAGAACATACTTTTTTTGCTCACAAAGAATGCTCCTGTTCATAGGTGGGGAGGTAAGAGTTTTTTGCTCTTTCTTCCTCCTGCAAGTCTCTTGTATCCTTTGAAAATTTGCTCCAGAGGAAGCGGTGGTCTGGGTGAATGCAGGGAGAAGGAAGCATCACTGAAAATCTCCTTCCCCTTCTGTTGAGCACTGGATTGTAAGCGCAGATAGGGGAAGGGCTGCAATTGATCCAGTTCACTTTATACGATATATACTTCCTTTAAGATATTATACAGTTCATTCAGTCTGCATTTCCCCCAACAACCAGCTGTTCTTAAGATATTGTTGCTCCAAGTGCTGTAGAACATTTCAATCAAATGTTGGTGTGTTTATGTTTGGTTGCAGGTTCCACTGGTTATATTTAAACGAGAAAAAGAAGTCGCACGGAAATTAGAATTTGATGGGCTGTATATTACAGAACAGCCTTCAGAAGATGATATTAAAGGGCAGTGGGATAGACTTGTCATCAACACACAGTAAATATTTCTCTCTCCCCCCCCCCCCCGCCCATCTTCCCTGAAGCTTGTGTAAGTGTATCTCAATTTTGGCAGTAGCGAATTGTGATTGGATTCATCTGCAACACAGAAAACTCCAAGATTTGAGGCAGCTATAACTATTTTATATAGCTATTAAATGTACATTTTAGCTTGCTTTGTTGTGAGGATATCAGTAAAAAAATAATAATCTTCCATTCTGCAAACAGCAGTTTCGTTTCCAATGGCACTGATATGCTTGAAACATAAATGTTGATTCATACAGTCAAGTTGTTTCTCTTTTACTTAAATTAAAATGATATGCATTTTTAAATCCATCTAACACATGGAAGGTGACACATCCAATTATTTATTCATGTTTCATCCTTTTAAATATAAAAAGAGAACAGGGCACTTTTATTCATAGTATATATTTTAAGGAGAATGGGTTAACTGTGCACATTCACCAGGTCTCATGAAGAATACAGTATGCACATAATCCAGCCATGAAGAAGGAACTGTGCACATTTCCTAGTCAATATACATAATCTCCAACAGGCTTCGGGAAATGTTCATATAGTGACTGTACATTTTCTGATCATTTGCATCTCATAGGCAAAAGTTAATTTTGTGTCATAACAGAGACCAGCAATCCAGTACACTCTAAACAAAGCTTCACATGAAACAATGTTGGGTTGTGGGAGTTCTGTGGACACAATTAACACATCTGAATGGGAAGTTTGCACTACGGAAGGAAGACATTCCTAGCAGATTTTTTTTTAGTAATTAGGACTACCTGTGTAAATTAAACCTATAATAAATTGAATTATTAAATGAATTTATTTATTTATTTATTAAACCTATACCATATTATAAATACATTTGCATTAGGTAGCTTTATTAAGCTTTTTCTGTAGGCTCTTCCTACAATAGTGTTACCTGTGAATTTGCTATTCAGAAAAATGTTTACTCATATGAGTGCTATCTTACTTTTGTATATCTTTAGATCATTTCCTAACAACTATTGGGACAAGTTTGTAAAAAGAAAGGTAATGTTCTTATTATAGTTGAATTATGTAATTTTGAATTTGTCTAAATTATTTATACATGTCCTTTTGTATCATTATAACCTGTATCCATTATTATTAATTTATTGCAGTTATATAAAGCCTTTCTGCAGAGGGGACCGTATTGGTCCCCATTTCAGAGAACTATGACTAGAGATGGGGAAGGATTTCAATTTGCTCCACAGTTTGGACAGCATGTCTCCAAACTTTCTATGCATGGTTCACTGAGGTGTACTTAAAAAACCCACTAAGATGGTCCAAGGGTATTGTACAGAAAAGAGATGGCTGCTCCATAGTTTCATAGGGACAGCTATCCTTTTTTCTATACAGTGGTACACCATACCATACTGCTGCTTCTAGGGGTGTTTCACTCAAAGGTTTTATGCATGCACAGCAAGTGATGCACTTTCAAGCTGTTGCAAACATGCAGAAAGTTTTAAATAAAGAAAGAATGAAGCAGGGACCCTTCAGAGCACTTGGGTAGTATTTCTAAATCAGTGTGTTTTGAAACTGTGGCTTTTGGTTGTTGTTGTTTTTTAAATTGCATGCATTTGGGATGGAACAGACATGTTAGTCGGCTCTTAGTGCAAGGGACATGGACTGGATCAAGAATCTTTTATGTATCTGTAACCATGACTGCCTACAGAAGGTTGTGCAGCTGGCTGCATTGCTCATGAAACTCCAAAGATGATCAGTGCCTTCGGGGGAAGCACTGTTACGGAGATAAGAAAGCACACTTTATACACTGACTGGGGACCACTACTCTTCTTTCCATCTAACAATTAATCAGCATTGTCAGAGTGAAGGGACAATGGGTTTGGGTAACTTGTCCCTTCAAGAGGAGGACAGGCTAGCTTATGTGTTAAAAATGTTCACATGGCCCAATCCATAGCACTTAACCCTGGCTAGAAGATGAAAACCACCCTTCCTACCAGCAGGTTTTCATACTCTAGGGAGAACAAATCTTCAGCCAGAAACTCGGCAGACAGATGGCAGAGGCTCATGTCTGTATATGCAGAATTCATTCTGATTGTTTCTTTAGGAAGATACTAACAGAATGGAAATTGATGCAACTTTATATGGAAAAAATGATATAAGAATTGTGTAATATATATGTATAGACTATATTTGCACATAACTTTAGCCAGTTTAGTTACTTATATAGTTAGAATCATTTTTCTTTATGTGTGCATGTAACCAGCCTTAAGCTTATGGCTGTTGCAGCTGCTATACAGAGAGCAGATCTCAGTTCTTGACTGAAGTGTACGTGTTCATTTTGCCACATAATTGATCAATCATTATTATACACATATATTGTGAATGGGCTGTTGAAATAATTTGGATTCAGCTGAAATATAACCTGTTTTATTAGGTTTCCAAAGTAGAGAGAAAAATAACAAATCACCTCCATTCTTCTAGGTTATGGATAAATATGGAGAGTTCTATGGAAAGGACAGAATCAGTGAATTGCTGGGAATGGACAAAGCTGCTCTGGATTTCAGTGATGCTAGAGAAAAAAAGAAACCCAAAAAAGATAGTTCTTTATCAGCTGTGTAAGTTTACAAAAAATTGGTTTTTTAAAAAAATTAAGCATTTTTTCATATGCAGAGCCTACAGCTCTTAGGCTTTTAAAGAGTGACTGTTTTTAGTTAATAGTGACTTGATATTCTCAAGCAGTACATGTGTTGGGGGCCGATGAAAAAAATTAAGTTGCCTGTTGTATTTGCACTGTGAAGAAAAAGGCACCTTGCTTGGTAGCTTTTAAACAACAGCTACCAGCATTCCCTATCTTGGCAACACCCCGACCTTGACAGTAAGGGAATAGGAGACTCCAAGTTAGTCAAACTCAAGTTCCATTGAAATCTGCAAGACTTAAGCAATATGTGACTTTTCCATTAATTTCAATGGAACCTAAGTATGACAGCCTTAATGTGGATTGGCACCAATGACAGTAACACAAATAGGTTAAGAGATGTCAGCTTCTTGGAGAAAGAAGTATAAATGCAGTGTTGTTCCAGTGGGGGTTTCTGAGCAAAAATAAAAATAGTATCACCAGAATCTGCCCCACTGCCACTTTTAACAGTAGCAATAGCAGGAATTAAAATGATATTCATATGAATTGGTTCTAAGACAGCTATGTTGAAAACAGGGCAGTGATGGCTTGATACCAAGGCTGAATGTGATAATTGTTACATATTAATATAGTGTTATTTCCTACTGTGTCTTTCATATATTTTTTCCAGACTGAATTCTATTGATGTAAAGTATCAGATGTGGAAATTAGGAGTTGTTTTCACTGATAATGTAAGTTTATGCCATCAAATATAAATTAAGTACTAAAGCAGGAAACTGGTTTAGAGTGTGAGATTTGGCTATTTTAAGTGAGGTTGAAAATGTGTGCTTTGCTATATTAAGACTCTGAACATATATATGGCCAATTCCATTTGATATTCAGATGTAATGTAGTGTAAATTTTATCGTATCAGTGAAAGTCTATTTATGACATGTAAGGGATTGTTTAGCTTTGCATTTGATAACGTAGGCTGTTGGCTATGACTATTCATGCTGCAATAAACAAGAATTTTCCATGCTGTTTCCTTGTAGATGTAACTATTCATCATTTTTCAGAGCTAGAACTGAACACACTGCAAAGCTCACATAGAGGGCAAAAAATCATCCCGATGAGATACAGTGGTTAATGATAAATGATATTGGCTGATTTTGTTATTTAGACCTTGAAATCAGATATCCTCTCTCCCCAATTCATTCCTTTACTTACGAAAGCAGGCTTTTGGTAGAGTATTGATTCAGTTGAAAAACTGAAGGTTTTAACCAGGTTATTTAAAAAAGCACAAAAAATTGTTCATTTAAAAAGAATATGAGTTAAATAAAACTGATTTAAAATGTTTAAAATCTATCTTTTTTGCATTTATTTGGCAGCTGTTATGCTCAGATCTAGGGCACCAGGAATCTTGCACCTGGTTGTATAAATTATTGAGTTATTTGGTTTTGCAGTTGAGTCCAGTTAATCGCAATTATCATGTTGTCTGCCCTTTTTCTAATTTTGTTTTACGCTTTCTCCCTGAAGTCTTTTCTGTACCTCGCCTGGTATATGACCATGTCAGTCCTTGGTCATTACAACAACTTTTTCTTTGCTGCTCATCTTCTTGACATAGCAATGGGATTCAAAACGTTGCGAACTATTCTGTCATCCGTAACTCACAATGGCAAACAGGTAATGTTGTCTTTTCTATCATTAACTACACTATCCTTTAAAACCAAGTTGGTAAGGAGGAACAATTATACAAACAGAATAGATAGAAACAAAAGGGATAAGTTTCATAATGTTTGTCCTAAAAATTCAAAGGATAAGTCACAGTCATACTTGCAACTCTGATTTTGCTTAATTAGTTGTAAAAAAACCATACAGTGGGTACTAATGTCTTAACCAGCACCATACTATCAGTGTTACTAAAGTCTCTTTTCCTGCGGCTGCAATGGGCGAGGAGGAAAAAGCAAAAGTTGCCTCTTCTCTTCTGCCATTTGCATAGGTATGGATCACTGGATCCTCAAACTGAAGGGCACAGTTGGCTGTAACCCAAAACTTCAAGTCAATATGCTAAAGCGTCTCTCCTTTTTCTTTATTAGAAAGAAAACTTCTGCGTGAGGGCATTCAGCACAGAAATATAATTGTTCTGTCAAATCATATTGCTGTACTCTTAATTAATATGTAATGTGATTTTTGTTTTGTTTTTTTAGCTTGTGCTCACAGTAGGATTACTGGCAGTGGTAGTTTACCTGTACACAGTAGTCGCATTTAATTTTTTCCGCAAATTCTACAATAAGAGTGAAGATGGAGATATGCCAGACATGAAGTGTGATGATATGCTAACGGTAAATATTACTTTGACTTTTATTCATCTCTCCTTGTGTTGCTAATACAAATTCTCGATGCCATTCATATAACTCAGTATGGTTATTATAAACATAATGCTTTCAGAAAAAGGAAGGTTCTGTTACTATAAATTGACAGTGGCAAAAGGATATAGTAATTTGATTTCTCTACAAATACTAGAAATACTCTATAGTCAGAATAAAGACTTGCGTGTCGAGGTCCCCAGGGCCACCCCAATAACTCACACATAACACAGAATTTTTTGTTTAAGATTTTTGGCATAATTTTGGCCACAACTTTATTGAAATACAAATTTGTGAGTGGTTGCTTAGGCATTGGTTGCGACTATCTGCCCCCACCATGGGGGACAGACTGACATTCCGCATGATGCGAAAGTCAGAATAGGGGAATACACTTGGGGGTTACGCGGAGCAGAGAACCTGCCCTCACCCCAAATGCAACCAGGAGCTCATTGCTATGGCCCGAGCCCCCTTGACAGAGTGGACAAGCAATAGTTAGCCCCCAATTCCTTTAACGGAATCCCTTGCAGCAGCAGCATTAGAGGGGCAGGCACTCAACCTACCAAGGGCAGGCACTCAACCACTTCCCCCAACCAACCAAACCATAAACCAATGCCTAACCGCAACCTTACAAGTTGTGACGATTTGCTACGCAGTAGGCAAAAACCAAATGGCCCCAGCCAATCAGCCAGATGGACAAAATTCCTACCAGGCCCCTGCCCCAAGAGCAGACGACCCCATGACAGGCATAGCAAGGTCAAAGCAAACAACCCTAATTCTAGGGAGGGGGGGACGGGCAATCCGATGCACGGTCGAAAAGAGGAAGCCCTAGCCTCGTGCAAGGAGTTTTAGCATTTCTGGCTGTCAATCAACAAATGGCAACATTAACTTCTTCCCAACAACATGGGAAGCCCCAATCGCATCAGTGGCCAACGAACAATTAGCCCGCCCCCAACTTTGGAGTGTCCTGGCGGCCCCCACCGCAACACGTGCTCTCCATGAAGGAGAACACGCTATCTCAAAAGCTTGCTCTTCTCGGATAATAGTGACAATTAGGAAAGCTGGAATGATGATTTCTCGTGAGTTGACTTTTAGTCAGGCTTCAAAGTTACAGACAGAACTAGTAACATACCAACTGTTTATACAGTACAACAAAAACTACTTTTATGATAACACCGGAGTCTTGTCTAGTAAAAGGAATTTGTCTGTCTCTGAAGCCTGAACTGAAGTCAGTGTGGGAGAGGGAGGGAATTAGACTGTTAAAAATATTTGTAAGGTTTCTCATTTCAAACCACATATCTTTAACCCTTTGTTTACAAAAGCATTGTAAAACAGTTATCAATAGTTATGAATCCAAGGCCTAGTGTCAATATGCAGCATCCTGTCTCCAGCAGGTGGGCCTTGCTAGTTTCTGTATTTATGCCAAACAACAAAGTGAAACTGCCAATAAATAAAAACAACAAATTTAAAAGAAAGCCGTATTCTGTACACAGATATCCCAATCCATGGGGGAAGCTGGCTCCTTCCCGTGTGAATGTTCCTAGTTTACAGTTATCAGCTGTTCAGGAGGGATATTTTAGCAAGAAAATTTTGTATGAATATAGGAAAAATAATTAGTATGCCTTGTTTTCTACAGTTTTTAAGAACAAAATAATTGCCCCCTGTACGTATTCATCATTCTTTGTGGCCTCTGTGCAGTTTCACATTGGTGTGGTGTGGCCTAAAAAATAAGTTTAGCTGCTGATTTAAGCAGTGGTGAAGCTGCAGTCAACAGCCCAGCAACAACCTCGTGGGAATGAAATTCTGTAAGAGGGCACTGCCACAGTGCCAGCCTGCTGAGGGTAACTTCACCACTGCTTCAAGCAGTGTTTTGTAAAAGAAAGGCAACTGGAACCCTCTGCTGACTCCTGGTAACTCCCCTCAACAGATTTCATCCTCCCCACTGAGAAGGGTGAAGACTCCCCCCCCCCAAAAAAAAATTGTACAGGGGCTTAATGGTCCCCCCATCAAAGCATGGAAAGGTTTAGCCTGGTGATAGGGACTAGGGAGCATTCAGGCTTGAGGCTGGTGTAGGTTTGTTATGTCCAAACCAGGCCATGATCTTTGAGAGCTTCTCTGAAGAGTGTGATGCTCTCTCACCCCCTTTCCCTCAGGTAAACAGACCTGCATTCCCACTCTCTTTGCAGCCGCTCATTTATCTGAAATTCTGACCGAAAGATCAAGGTGCAGTTTAAGCCTTATGCAGATTAATAAATAGCAATAGCAGATGTAGAATGTGCATTTTTAATATTACTGTCTTTTCCCATGTGTTCGTAGTGCTATATGTTTCACATGTATGTGGGAGTGCGTGCTGGTGGTGGAATTGGTGATGAAATTGAAGATCCAGCAGGCGATGAATATGAAATCTATCGAATCATCTTTGATATTACGTTTTTCTTTTTTGTAATAGTTATTCTCCTCGCTATCATCCAAGGTACATATGCATATTTTTTCAGTTTATATTGTATTTTTAACTGACAAAATTACCCTTTCCCTACTGATAATTAAAATCCCATTTTTCCCTGGCACATGGGATGAAACATCATTCCGTCCAATATATAAAAAATATAAACTTTCTGTGTCTAATATATTTGCTTATGTTCAAAATATATTTAATGTGAGTTTAGTGTAGAGATGTAAAAATTTCTGGAAATTTTGAAGCCATGGGAGGAGGGTGAGAAATGCTTTTTCCCACAGATTGGGAATGGGGGGACGGGACAGAAATTTAATAAAAATTGAAACAATTTAGTACTATAAAGAAGTGTGTGTTGCATGTCAAAGATCACTTTCTTACTTTAGGAACATAATGTATAACTTAGCTTATCATAGATTTATCATGTCTGGTATATTAAAAGTACAGTTTAGCCAGACAATAATTACAAACTGAATTTATTTTTTATTGTTACAACTTAAGCTACAAGTTGCTGAACTGTAAACAACCTAGCATCTCTTTCATTTTCCCAGTTTATGAAGAGCTAGCAAAAAATAATAAAAAGAGAAACCATCAACCCTGTAGTAAAACTGATAATTATTCTGAGAATTATTGATTTATCCAGTCCTCCACAGTGTACACACATTAAAAAGAACCAGGGTTTTTGGTTTCATTTGGGGAGAGTTCTCATTTCGGGGGGGGGGGGCAAAAATCAAACAAACAGGAGCAGTGGAGGCAGGAGAGTAGCATGAAAACATCCATACTGGGTTTTGGGGGTGGGGGTGGTAGAGTTAGGCTTTCAAATAACACCTAATGGATGCTTTACGTCTTATTTTCCAAAAGTCTCCAATGAAATAGCTGAGCTTGGGCTGCTGCAACTCCTCTTTCTTTCTTGCTTCCTTCCCCAGAATGCCTTGTGGGAGGAAATTAGTGTTGACATATTAGCATCTGTCCCAAAGATACTCTGTCACCTTAGAATGTAATTGTCCATCCAATTGCAGCTAGTGAGATACCTCTGGGAGGCTCGAAACCAGGGCATGGAAACAATCACCTAATCTGTTAGCAATGATTGAGCCTAAATCTAAATAGGGCTTACCATGGGTCTGTTGTGATGGCCTCCAGCTACTGCAATTCCCATCAGCCCCTGTCAGTTTTGTCAGTGGTCAGGGATGATGCAAGTTGTAGTCCATAACATCTGAAGGGCACTGTAGTAGCTACCGCTGCTATAGACAGTACTGTTTACCCAGTCAAAATAACCCCCTTTTTGGGTGCGGGTAACAAAATAATATTTAACAGATGTATTTGCATACAAGGAACAGGAGATATGAGATCTGATTGCCGTCTGTGAACTGCCAACAGCTCTTATTGGCATATGCCTTATGACCAGGATATTTGCTATCTTTGAATGCAGTTCCAGTCATCTGAGTCTCCTGCCGTGCCCCATTCAATAAATATATGGTTTCTGATTCCCTGCACCATCTTTGTGAAATTGTGCTGATGTGGATTGGTATGCCAAAACAGCTAAATGCAGGCTCAAGAGCAAAGCAAGCTGAATGCTACAGGTTGATTTCACTCAATTAAAATGGAGCTAATGCTATTTGCTGAATCCCCTCTTTCCCAAGATGCTCCTTTCATGGCACTGAAGGAGCAAAAACATTCCAGCTCTCATGCATCAACTGGTATGGAAGAAAAAACGCCTGATTGAAATAGCAATCACACATACGGTGCTATATAGCTGAAAATTAGAGACAAGCGAATAGGATAAAATGGTGTTGTCAGGTCTTGTATATGTACTGAAATCTCATAAAAGCACACACTCTAGTTCCACTTCTACAAGAACTCCAACCACAAAAGGTCCTGCAGAGCTTTGCACATGATTGGCTCATGCCCACAATCTGAGTGTATGTATATGAATACTTCTCATCTGCAAGAGCCTTCAGACCCAGTACCTCTTCACTCTTTCCTTCTTCTGCAGCAAATCTCCCCTTCTCTTGTATTTATATTCTTGGCTCTGATGTGATTTATTTCTTTCCCCTGTTCTCTAAGCCACAGTCCATTACCTTTGTCGAGCTCTGTTAATGTGACTGTGTTAATAATAAGCATTCATAATGAGAACAGGAAAATGAAATGATGTAACCTCTGGATGCTGTCACATAAGCATCTTTTAGCAATTAAGACTTATATTCCATATACACACTCTTGTGAAGAAGGAACAAGAGATTAAAGTCAGTCTACAATTAGTGTATTTTTCCATGAATAAGACCAGGCATAGGCAAACTCGACCCTCCAGATGTTTTGAGACTACAACTCCCATCATCCCTGACCACTGGTCCTGTTAGCTAGGGATGATGGGAGTTGTAGTCCCAGAACATCTGGAGGGCTGAGTTTGCCTATGCCTGTATAAGACACACATATAGGACGACCCCTATTTTTTGGAACCCAAATTAAGAAAGAGAGCCAGAGCCCTAACCCAAGCCTGCGCCACCTGCACCAGAGCCCGAACCTCTATTCATTCACCATCCGTGTATAAGGTGACCCACAATTTTTAATCAGAAAACATCATCTTATACACTGAAAAATACAGTAGTTTTCTCCTCTTGTTTTATGAACTGTGCTTCAGACAATTCCAGTTTATATGGCAAATTCAAGCACTTCATGTACACACTAGGGCTGGACAATATCTGGTTTTCAATACCATGTTATATCACCAACTAAACATCACAATATCTCGATATATCACAATATATATCTGCGGTGGCGGAGGGTCCCACTGGGCCTCGCCGCAGGGGAGGAGGACCCTGCTGTGCCTCCCCATGGAAGCGGAGGACTTTGTGGGCATCCCTGTGGGCGGCCTTGCCGTGCCTCCCCACAGATTGACAGAAATGTTTCTCTGAGTTAAACATAGATTCAGCCTCTACAGTCATATTTACTACAAACTCTGGCGGTGATTTGAGCATTCAATGCATATAACTTTAGTTTTGAGTAAGGTTTAAACGTGTGCATCAGATTATGACAGAGTTTACAAAATCAAAAGCATCACCTTATTTTAAGTATCACCTTATTTATTACCAGGTTTAATTATTGATGCATTTGGAGAATTAAGAGATCAGCAAGAACAAGTTAAAGAAGACATGGAGGTAATATATATCAGCAATTCTGTCGTGATGTATATGGTATTTCTGTGAAACAGAAATACATGTGTAATAGAAAAAAATATTGTGTATAACAAACATCCTAGTGAGAGGATTCCAGTTTAGGATTTCCCTGGCGTACTTCTTTTACATACAATATATGATGGACTATTGGGCTGGCATTATGGAGCAGCACTGCATTCTGAGGGCTTATACCACCAACATTCAGTGCTATAATCTATGCCAAGCAGTGGTGGTTCTCCAAAGATTTAGGCAGTGGTGTTTCCCAGCCCTGTTTCTTGAGATCCTTTTAAGCAACAAATGCTAGGGACTAATCTTGTGTAAGAAATGCATGTTCTCCACCTAGGGATGGAGAATAAATTAGTACGCTTCACATTTTAAAGAGAACCAACCTGATTTGCCAATCTTGTATTTATACATGGATAAATAAAATTGGATTATGTGTTTTGTGAATATTGCAATGCAGTTTCGGTTTGAAAAAATACACATTTTGAACAAACTTAGAAGGCAAATGCATTGGAAAGTGTACAGAAAAGCTTATTTTGGGGAAAATGTGTGCTTTGGAAGGGAGGCGTACAATTTAAATGCAGCTAAATCTGAAAAAACAAACAAACAGAAATAGGCTGCTTCATCTTCCCCTAGTTCTACTACTGATAAATATGGCTTTTTCAGAAATAGTACAGGAAAAGGAATAGGAAAATTTTCATTTCAGCATTGACCCTTTATTTTCTTTTACTTAACAGAGAGAAATATTTTAGCATTCAGAAACTATAGGTTGGAAAAGAAGAGGGTACATTTCTATTTAAGGCCTTAAAGCAAGGGATTTTGCTAAGAAGTTTGAACTTGGCATACAGAGTTTCCTTGTTTTCCTTGTACTGTTAAAGAATATTTGGACAATGTATTTTTTTCCCATTCTTTTTAGACCAAATGCTTTATTTGTGGGATAGGTAATGACTACTTTGACACAGTGCCCCATGGTTTTGAAACACATACTCTACAGGAGCACAACTTGGCTAATTATCTGTAAGTACTTTAATGTCATCGAATCTGAAACATAATAGGAGATGCAACAAGTCAATATTTTGAAGTAAAACTCTAGTTAAATTTATATGGTGGTTGGAAAAGGAAGTATTTTGCTTTGTGACAACAACAACAAAAAAAGGTCAGGGGAGTCCCCATCTAGTATTGGATAATGTGCTTAAATCTTGAATTATGATATGCAATTTGAAACTGAACCATAATCGTTGGAAACAGCACGAAATTGACAACTAGAAAATAAATCCTATTGAAACTCTTAATCTAAGGGTTGAGGCTTTGAGCCCCACGTCGGGCAAAATATCCCTGCATTGCAGGGGGTTTGACTAGATGAACCCTATGATTCTATGAACTAAATGGACTTAAAGGCTTAGTTAAATTCTTAAAATAACAGATGCAATATATACTAACAAGTTACAATGAGTCTTGTAGCCTTTCACTTCAATTCAATTTCTGGAAGCCAAGTTTGGATTCAACTGAAACCAGAATTTAGTTTCATATCCTAGTATGGAGGGACCCTAACCCCCAATTTCTCAGTTTGGATGTTAAGAAACCAGGAATTTGTTCAGGGAGGGAATAGGTGAAGTGAGGTGAGGAGGGAGCCAACCAGCGAAAGGATTGCTCCTAGTTCAATAAAATATGATTTAGTAGACTGGTTTCTGAACTGGAGCAATAAATCATAGCCATGAATTTCCCATTCTACACGTGAGAGGCCTTTGCTTTCTAATGACAGGCTGATACGTTCTTTCATTTTTAGTTATTTCTTATATACAGGTATTTCATTCTCATGTGTGTGTGTGTGTGTGTGTGTGTGTGTATATATATAATCATGAACAACAAATTCTTTCTTTATCTTAGATTTTTCCTGATGTATCTCATAAATAAAGATGAAACCGAACATACCGGGCAGGTGAGTCACCAACATGTTGTGTAATAATAACTACCTAAGATTCATTTTTTTGTCAGAAACTTTTAAATGTAATCTACTGTGATACAAATTGGTACCAGTACCTAGAAGTCCATTAGATGAGAAAATAACTTTTTGTTACTTTTGATAGCTATGTGAAGTTTCATTTAGAAACATTTCAAGAGCTTACATCAATTTTGATATTTTCTTTGTCTCCTCTACTACTTGTGTTAGTTTGGAAGGTCACATTTTAACTTTTTTAATGAATTCACAAACATTTCAACTTCTGGTTCTTTCCACTCACCAAAGTTATGGTATGTCATGTAGAAACTGGGGGATTTGCCACCTGTATTTCTTTTTGCTGATGTATTGTTCCAGTCCAGCAAGGGAGATTTAAGCATTCCATATACATATGTTCATCTGGATGCATATCCTGTATCCATGCTCCTCTAACTGGATGGTTCTTGAGTTCTGGCCCTTTGAAAAAATACAAGCATTGGAAAATTAAGAAATGTTAATACTCATCCTTACATAATATTCATTCCCCCTGTGGAAGAAACCAAGATAGATTTTGTAAAGTCCTACAGAAGCATATTATCCCATAACTAAAATTGCTGCTTTTGCTATTCTAGACAGAGAGATACAGTATTTTGTAGATTTGCATGAGGCTTAATTTTCTGATGCTGTGGATTGGATCTAGTCCATTTATCTCCAAGACCTACAATGGCGAGGATAATAAAGAAATAGGGTCCTGGTTAGACAACACTATACAACAACAGAAACTGAAACACAGACTTGGATAAGAAATAAGTAGAAATGCTTAAAGTATTTATAATGCTTCTGCCTCATGTGAAAGCAGAAACGTACTTGAGATTGCTTCAAGGCGACGGAGTTAAGCTTTTCTCTGAAGTAACTACATTCCTGTCTTTGGGTACAGGGGGGACACTAAAACCACCAGACTGTTGTAAGATCATGAAGAAATACCTTTCAGATAAGGCTAATGATCCCTTCTCTATAAAGTTGAATCAGTGTGTACAGTACGTATTTCAGCATAAAAAGCTAGGTTTTGGTCATCCTTTCAAAATACTTCAGACTTGCAATAGTGAAAGTTTTAGAGTAAGTGGCAAAAGTCTTTCAAATGTATTTTAAAAGTAAGTTCAACTATCGTTCTCTTCTGTGTCTTACAGGAATCCTACGTATGGAAAATGTATCAAGAGCGATGCTGGGAATTTTTCCCTGCCGGTGACTGCTTTCGAAAGCAGTATGAAGACCAGCTTAACTAATTCTAGTTGAGGACTATCTCTTGAGAAACCATCCACACCTCTCCCGACTCCTTTGGGAACAGTTACCAGATTTCCCAGATCTATTAAGCAGTGTGCTGTTTGGAGCACCAAAGCTTTTTTTGATGACTCAGCTGTCCTTTTTTCTTCTATGTTTGCTTTGAGAACAATGAGAACTTAACTCTGGGAAGAGAAGAAAAAATATCCCACACAACAAATCCCCATACATAACATGAACACACGCACACAACAAGAGACTCGACAGCTTTTTTTCTCTGAGACTGCCTGATGATTTCCTTAACTAAGAGAACACATGTGGGGTAATGTGATAGCCACATTCATTCAGTCTATTTATTTCATCATCCTGGAAGGACCTCTGTAGTTCACGGAGTGCTGTAAAGGATTGTTGTGGACGCTAAGTTGTGGGGAAATAGTGCCTTACTATATGTAGGTTGAGCTATGCAGAAGATGAGTGCATGATGACATCTTTTTTTCTTTATTTGTCCTCTCTTTCCTCCCAGTTAATATTTATTTTGTCTTCTGGAGGGACTTGGGAGGGATTTGGCTGTGCACACCTTTTAAATAAGACTATGGCGTGTCTCAGGATAAAAAGTAGTTTTTTTCTCATTAAGCTCAGTTCACAGGTATCTTCCTCTTTATCTCTTACACTTATTTTGGTAATGCTCTGATGCAACACTGCAACTTTATGAAATCTTTGTATGAAAACAAAAAGACTGCAGAAAAAAACTTTAAAAAGAATAATTTCATTGCATGTTTATTATGCAAGTTAAAACAACAAAAAGCAACCTTCTGAAGCAAGTTGATCAACATGAGAAAACATTCACGATAATATTCATAGTAATAAAGTGTTGTGGGCTTTATTGTACATTTGAAACCAGTGTCATCAACCCACTATGTATATGTTATGAACTTGCCAGTAGTTTGGATTTATTTTCTTTTTGTTGTTTTCCTTTTTGTTCATTTTGCCATTTGTGATCATTAGTGGAATTAAGGTTTTTCTTAGGTCAATTTTTAAAATCCAAGGTGAAGCAATATCCATTCAGGGATTTCATTATTTGCATCATGAAACACCAATGATGTGTACATCACTCCATTTTGAGTCCTTTTTTGATTGTAATGCCAGTCTTTACAAATAAAAGGAGAGATTTGGAATGGAAGCAAGGTGCTTTCGCTGTCACTTGGCTTCTTTTTAACAGAGGCTGTCAGTTTTTCTCTAAAGTTATTGCAACAATTACCCCCCCTTTCGTCTTTGTAGCATCACTGTGGTTCCTTCTGCCCTAGTGAACGTTCCAATTTAAACCCAAACCACCACTTTACACTGAAGAAAATCTGCTTCTTGATCACACTCACTTAGCTGTAATAAAAGGTTCATTCCAACCTATCTTTCAAATCAAGAGAGAGTTTTGTGGCAACTTAAAGCCTAATAAAATTATTAAGGTAAACCTCCCAATTGAGAATAATACTTTATGTGGACTCTAGGCTATAAAAGCTTATACCATAATAAACATGTTTAAGGTGCCACAAAGCTTTCTTGTTTCTGTCGCAGCAAACTAACACAGAAACTAGCCTCTGGAGACCTCTAAATTTATGTAGTAATATTCAAGATAATTAATGGCTGTACATATAAGCAATTATCTGAACCAGTTCTGCATATCCCTTTCTGGCAAACCTAGACAGCATCTTAAAAAGCAGAGACATCACCTTGCCAACAAAGGTCCGTATAGTTAAAGCCATGGTTTTCCCAGTAGTGATGTATGGAAGTGAGAGCTGGACCATAAAGAAGGCTGATCGCCGAAGAATTGATGCTTTTGAATTATGGTGCTGGAGGAGATTTGAGAGTCCCATGGACTGCAAGAAGATCAAACGCATCCATTCTTAAGGAAATTAGCCCTGAGTGCTCACTGGAAGGACAGATCGTGAAGCTGAGGGTCCAATACTTTGGCCACCTCATGAGAAGAGAAGACTCCCTGGAAAAGACCCTGATGTTGGGAAAGATTGAGGGCACAAGGAGAAGGGGACGACAGAGGACGAGATGGTTGGACAGTGTTCTCGAAGCTACAAACATGAGTCTGACCAAACTGCGGGAGACAGTGGAAGACAGAAGTGCCTGGCGTGCCCTGGTCCATGGGGTCACGAAGAGTCGGACACGACTAAACGACAACATCCCTTTCTTCTAATCTACACTAAATTGCCAGGAAAGTTTTGTTTTCTACTCCACTCCAACCTTTAAAAAGGGAGGCAGGAGACAGTAGAAACAAATTAGAAATCTAGTAATGACTTAATCTAGTCTTAGATCTTGTTATCTTGTGTTAGGGCTGACAGAATGAATTGGTCTCTACTGTGAAAAGGCTAGAGTGCCTAGCAGTGAAGTTCTTTTGAGAACTTCCCAGAAGACACAGTGTTAATTAGAACATTTTTAATCAATGCTACAATATATTTCTTAGTATAGGATTTTATCTTGGTGATAAACCAACTGATAAGCAATTTATGCATTATAGATACCCTTTGTCATATACAAAAACACACACACCAGGAGATAGGGATCACTACTTAACAATTTGCATTTCCTTGTTACAAATTTATCCTTTGCTTACACATTTGGGATTCTAAGCAACTATACACTACCCAAAATGCAATATCTTCCTGATTGTTTAAAGCATCAAGCAAACCTTAAGAGAATCTTGCTTGCTTTTTAATTAGTTTTCATCATGGCAATTTGCTGGAGCATCATTACTCCCACGTTTGGTAAAAATAATAAGAAATAATCGCACACCTTAGTTATTGAAACAAGGGGTGATTAAACAATGAAGACTGGACAGGCTGAGGCTGCTTTAAATATTAACAGCTGTGAACTGTGTGTGTAGGCCTTCACCAAATAAATCCAGAGACTTACTTCGCATTTCCACTAATGGCGAGAATGTCTGTAAGGGGACAGTGGTTTTTTTGGGGTGGTGGTGAAGTCATGTATAGTGAAAGGCATCTTCCGGAGCACTGAAAATGTTGGCTACAATGTGTGCATTGCCATGGAGGGGGATTTGATGGGGGGGGGTTGTCTTTGCCCATTGGTCAGTTTCTTTTGGTGACAACTGATGGCTGATCTGGGCAATCTCATCCACATGGTACACAAAGCAAAACTCAAATCTCCTGCACACAACAGAAAGAGATTTGCAATCCCAATCAAGTTTGGTTTACAAAAGGCATTCCTGCACATGTCTACTTTTCATCTTCAGTTTCTGATTCAGCAAATGATACCTAAACAGAAGCCTTACATATGCAGATATGCACAGCTAGATGGGTATGATCCTGAACAGCAAGTGATTTTTAGACTGTTGAGCATGGTGTGCAGACTACCGGCTTTTTAAAATGGTTTTTCTTTGTGCATTTATTTCCAATATTTAAGCTATTTCTTGTTGTCTGCAGTTGTGGTGCATGCTGACTTGCACCTGAGTCAAATTACTAACTTTTCCTTTATACCTGAATAAGCTTTTCCTTATTTAGCCCCAAGCCATCTGGCACACAGCTTCTACAGCCTTCTAAGACTAATTATTTTTGTTTCACTTATGACCTTGAGTAGATTTATAGCTTCCGATTATCTTCCAAGATTTTGTTTTCTGGATTACATCATATCTTGCATAGAATACATTCATATTTAATAAAAAATATTTCTAATATCATCATGGCCTTTGATAAAAGTCAGTATCTTATGTTTATTGGTTGGATAAAACTAATACTGATGTTCAAGGTGTTTTAAAAGTTTTGAACTGAGGGTTAGGATAATAGAATTTCATTTTGGACTCAGAGCTGTCCATGGAGGCGCAGGTTCATTCTGTGTCTAGGGCAGCTGTCTACCAACTCCACCTGGTACGCAGGCTGAGGCCCTACCTGCCTGCGGACTGTCTTGCCAGAGTGGTGCATGCTCTAGTTATCTCCCACTTGGACTACTGCAATGCGCGCTACGTGGGGCTACCTTTGAAGGTGACCCAGAAACTGCAATTAATCCAGAATGCAGCAGCCAGAATGGTGACTGGGGGCAGCCGCCGAGACCACATAACACCGGTCCTGAGAGATCTGCATTGGCTCCCAGTACGTTTCCGAGCACAATTCAAAGTGTTGGTGTTGACCTTTAAAGCCCTAAACGGCCTCAGTCCTGTATACCTGAAGGTCCAGTATACCACACCCATCGTTCAGCCTGAGATCCAGCGCCGAGGGCCTTCTAGCGGTTGCCTCATTGCAAGAAGTGAGGTTACAGGGACCAGACAGAGGGCCTTCTCGGTAGTGGCGCCCGCCCTGTGGAACGCCTTCCCATCAGATGTCGAAGAGATAAACAACTACCTGACATTCAGAAGACATCTGAAGGCAGCCCTGTTCAGGGAAGTTTTTAATGTGTGACATTTTAGTTATTTTTGGTCTCTGTGGAAGCCGCCCAGAGTGGCTGGGGAAATCCAGCCAGATGGGCAGGGTACAAATAAATAATAATAATAATAATAATAATAATAATAATAATAAACAACTTGTGAAATCACTATGTAAAAATAATTGAAAAAGCGTAATCATGATCCCACTTCTAAGGCAAACCATCTCTGTACTGTCTCTGTCTCTAGAACAGAGTTATGCATCTGAATAAGTAATAATGGTAGACAAGCAATTTGTAGGTAACCAAGGTAAGTGGGGATTTGTGGTTCATGATTTAAAATTGCAGTTCTCGTTATACTGTGAAGATGGAGCAAAAACATTTGGCCAACAGGGCAGGTATGCTTAAGGAAATTATGACTAGTGTGCCCTGCCCATGCTGGATAGCAGATTGTCTCTGTAGTGCTTTTAAGCTTTAAATTCCTCTGGATTTAAAAAGTAGAATGATTTTAGGCATATTCAGCTTTGTAGATCTGTTGAAAGGGACATGTAGACAAGCCCTGCCTACTCAACAGGGAAGGTCTCCGGTGGTTTTTTTTTACTCACTTGCTTGAACCTCTTTGTGATCAGGGCTCTCTAACTGTGCAATGCACTCCAGTTGCATTCAAGCAAATATGAGTAAAAGCTCAACATAGGGAAGTTTCAGAACTCAGCAGGTAGGGTCACAAACTCACAGTGATGTTGGGGGCAGGGATCATGTGCATGCTCCTGCTCCCATTCAGAGTTGCTTGGATGTGCCTTCTGAGTAGTCCTTTTATATTGTTTATCCTCTCTCCTCTTGCCCAAACCACCAAGTCTCGACATGGTGCCTAGAGAACAACTTGCACCTAAATATCAGCAAGACAAAGGAGATGGTGTTGGACTTTCGGAGAAAGAGAGGGGAACTAGCCCCATTGTATATGGGGGGGAGGGGCTGTGTGGAGAGAATCTCTTCCTTTAAATTCCTGGGAGTTTACCTTAGTGAAGACCTCACTTGGAAAAACAATATAACTCAGGTGGTTAGGAAGGCCCAACAGAGACCACATTTCCTCAGGGTCTTGCGAAAGAACAATGTCAGACAAAAACTGATGATTTCCTTCTACTGGTCCACAATAGAAAGTGTCCTTTCATACTGTGTTACAGTGTGGTACGCTGGTTTGACAGCCACAGACAGGAAGTCCCTACAGAGGGTGGTGAATAGAGCACATGATATCATGGGCTGTCCCCTGAGTTTGCTAGATGACATCGCAGGAGACCTCTGCCTCAGGAGAGAGAGGAAAATTCTTAGGGACGATTCACACCCTGGCCAGCACCTCTTTAATCTCCTACCTTTGGGCAGGAGATACAGAAATACAGTCAACCGCACCAACAGGTTAAAGAACCATTTTTATCCGTGGGCTGTTGGGCTGCTGAATGAAAAAAAAATAGTGGGGCAATTGACTTCCGACAAGCACGCAGAGTGTGAACAAGACTGAGTGTATTGGGGGGGGGGGTCGTTTAATTTCACTGCACACAGGTGATGTGGTGACAATAAAGGTTTATTATTTATTGTTCTCAATGGGAATTTTGCATACATACAGAAAGCTGCCCATGGAGACAGAGCAAAATTTCCCACCATGCAGTTACATTTGAATGCCCTGTACCAGCAATTTAATCCATGACATTTTGTATCAGCATCACTTTGGTATACTGTACTGAACTGCACAAAGAAATTAAAGGTTCATTTTACTTTTGATGTATGCTGTAGAAGAAAATCCTGTTCCTAGGTTAGTACAGATGCTCTGGGAAATACAGCTGTAAGTCAGAATTTCTCAAAGCATCTGTACTAAGCTGGGAATAGGAATCTGCTGTCCAACATGTGCACTGCCAGGACATGTGTGTTATTTCTCCCAAAGTATATTTATTATAATTGCTCAGACAGAAGGCCATCTTCTGTATTCACGCTAAGCACTGCTCTGTTGAAAAAGAAGGCCCCACAGCATTATGACTTGCAATTCTGCCTGCTGTTAAATTTGATAAACTTTTTATGCAACGGTGAGTTTTTGGGAGTAATATCAATATTCCAGAATGATTGGTCATATTCTTAAAATGTCCTTTGCTACAGTCTTTTACTGAGCCGCCATATGAATAGAAACCTTCCTCTGACTGTAGAAGTTACTGGTTCAGATGAGAGCCACTCTGGTGCATGTTACTGGAACTTGGTAGTTATCCCTACCAATAGCAGTGGCCTCCCCCATGGGAAACTAACCAGTCAGCAATCACAGACATTCATGGTGCTGAGATCTTCAGAACCACCTGGAAACTGATGCCAGGAAGAATGGAAATTCCCCTCACTGCTCAAGCTCTCGCAGCAACAGACCTGTATTTCCTTCATGGCTCCCTCCAACTGCTTTTGGGGCTTTCCTTTCACCCAGAATAGACCTGTCGCTGCTGTTACCCACCGACTGCTCTTCTTTCTGCAGCAGCTTTGCCTTGACAAAGTGGTAGTCTAGGGATAAGGAAAATCAAGGCCACTAAGGAGAATGCTAATGGGGAGAAGCAGTAATGACACTTCCTGAAAAAAGGACAAGGTGAGAGAGGAGTCATTCTACAAGGATGCCCTCATAGAGGCTGTCTGAGCCAATGACTTCTACAGACAACATCTTCTCTTCATGGGATGGCTCATTAGACAGCTGCCATTTGAATTGGGGCTCAGAGTGTCAGTAAAGATGTGCTTGAGCTATTCTCACAGACAGGCTGTGCAGCAATCCATCCAGCACAGAAAGGGGGGTTGAAATGGCAAAAAAAAGCAAGTAAAGCTTTACATTTCATAGTCAAGTGAGACTTAAATGTCAACGACCTTTTCAAGGAGGCCATGCAACAAAGGAACTTGGTATTGTAAGAGTCACTGCCTCTCCCATACATTTAAAATAAAAATACAAAATGATCTGTCGTTGCTTATTTACAGCTGTTATATGAAGTTTATGCTATGGATTCATGTGCTATAAGATTCAAAAGAAAACCAAACTGCAGAATTTCCAGGAAATGCCCTGTTCATTTTCTGCTTTAAAGTGTTTTCTTTTCCCATCCACTCAAAGTTGTAACAAAGAAAAGTATATAAAACTTGTTTGTATCACCGATTTAAAAAACAGGGCATAAAAGTATAAAACCAGCCATGTCACAAAAGTCAGAACAAATCAATCTACTCAGCAACAATATTATTACTGTAGTAGTAGACTGCCCTTTGAAAAACAATTGATGATGGAGCCACACAAATCTCCCTTGAAAATGCATTCCGTAGTATAGGAACCATTACAAAAAATATGCATTGCCCACCAGAGATCTGGTGGCAGTAGGACAAAGAGAAGGGCCTTGGATGTTGATATGGTATCCTGGTCCCAAACTGCTTAAAGTCAAGACGAGCACTTCAAATGTAGCTTAAGATTCTAACCGTTGCATTTTGCACTGCAGCGTCCAGGCTATCTTTATAGATAGCCCCATGTAAAATGCATTACAATATGGATGCAAAAAGGTCTGAACGGTCCTGCAGTGCTACTGCTGTAGGGCAGCCCAGTTAAAGCAGCAGGTTCAGGAATACCCAAACTGCAGAGAGGACCAGTCACGCAATAATGCATCTCGATCAAGAGTACGGTCGTACCTCTGCTCCCGAATGCCTTGGGAGTCGAATGTTCCGGCTCTCGAACGATAAAAAACCAGAAGTGAGTGTTCCGGTTTCTGAACGTTTTTTTGGAAGCCAAACGTCCGGCTTCCGCTATTGTTTCTGGCATACCTGCACAATCGGAAACCAATCGGAAGCCATGCCTTGGTTTCTGAACGTTTTGGAAGTTGAACGGACTTCCGGAACGGATTCTGTTCAACTTCTGAGGTATGGCTGTACCTGCTGGCAATAGCATCACTCATGCAGAGCAACTGAAGTAAATGCCTGCCTAATGAGCTGCCAATTGTAGCTCAATTGCTTCAAGTGGCAGCAGAGCAGTCAATTGAAATAGCACAACTAAAAAGCCACTATCACTGCCTTCAGCATTTATCATGGTAATCTCTGCTGCATCCTTAACCACCCTCAAAGAATATTACCAGGGGAGATGCAAAAAAGCAGCAATTTCAACTTTTACAAACAAATTCATTCACCCTATCATAGTTCC